AAGTCCTTGTGCCCTGCACCCCATGGGAGACCAGGATAAGTACCTGGCTCCTGCTATCAGATTAGTGCGGTGTGCCAGCCACAGCGCGCCGGCCATTGGAGGGTGAACCAACGGCAAAGGAAGACCTTTCTCTCTGTCTCTCTCTCTCACTGTCCACTCTGCCTGTCAAAAAAAAAAAAAAAAAAAGACAAAGGGAGCCCATTAAGATGGACCAGAGAGAAGGTACTGGGCAGAGAGGGCAGTGGGTACTGAGCATCTGCCAACAAGGGCCTTCAAATCCCCTGGCCAGGCACTACCAGGTGCCCTTGCGTAGGCAGCCTGTTCCCGAGGACCAGAGATCAGGGAGGAAGAAGAGCTGAGAGTGACCAGAGGGCCCACAGCCTGTGTGGATTCACCCCATGGCCTGTTACACCACACATGGGAGCTTGGCTGCCAGGGATCAGAGGAGAAGTCAGCGTGTGGACCACCACAGTGTCACAGGAGGTGACCAACTGGAGCTAGCGTTCTTGGTGGTGAGAGAATTCACCAGAGCAGTCAGGTAGAGTGAGCAGAGTTAGATTTACTGCGCACGTGCACGGGAGCTAGCGGAGAGCCAGAGGCTGAGTGCTGCCGCACACTGCACTCCCAACGACAGCTTCTTTTTTTTTTTTTTTAAAGCTTTTATTTAATGAATGCAGATTTCATAGGTACAACTTTAGGAATATAGTAGTTCTTCTCCCATACCCACCCTCCCTCCCCGACTCCCATCCCACTTCCTACTCCCTCTCCCATCCCATTCTAAAGATTGATTTTTAATTAACTTTTGCACTTAGACTGAGCTTTCCTATGGCCAGCAGGTTTTCCCAATTAGATAACTTGCCTTTCTGGACAGAGGTAGGGAGTTTGCACCGTTGTTAGAGACCTTCTCGGCCTGCCAAGTGCCCAGAGTGGCCCTCCACAATGTGTACCATGTCTTTTGTCAACCACTTGGTAACATCATTCTCTGCCACTTTCTTTTCTTTTATTATATTTCAGAGATTGTCCCACATAGCTCCTGATCCTGTGCAGAGAGGTGTAGTACAACACTGGCCACGTTTATTGTTGATGCAGGAAGCACCCACTAAAGTGTGACTCTGGCTTGGGTCCTTTCTCACCCTACATAGCGCACTCCCAGGACAACAGCTTTTCCTGCCTGGCATGTCTGTGAATCCTCTGAATGGCCTGACCCAGACTGGTGCGTTTTGTCCATTTTGCTTGTTCTGGCGTGCGTCTGGCACTCACTCACATACCGCGTTTATTTCAGATTCCAATTCCCTTAGACTCTGTTTCCTCACTGTATTCTGTCAGCACTAAAACTTAGACTTTCTCTTGTTTTGATAGTGCATTGTTGTGAAATACGTCACACAGCAGTGTGTGTAAATTGGATAGTTGACCCTCAATATCCATGGAGGCTTGGTTTCCAGGCCCTGCCACTGCCCCACGGCTACCAAAATCTGCAGCTGTTCAAGTCCCTTATATACAAGGGCAGAGTGCTTTCCTGTAATTTATGCACATCCTCTCGTACTCGTTAACTCATCCCTAGATTGCCTATAATGCTTAATACAGTGTAAATGATACGTAAATTCTTGATGTTTAGGAAAAATATCTGTTCAGTACAGACCCAATTTTGTTTCCAAATATTTTTTAAAGATTTATGTATTTATTTTAAAGTCAGAGTTACACAGAGAGAGGAGAGGCAGAAAGAGAGAGAGAGAGTGGTCTTCCATCCACTGGTTTACTCCCCAATTGGCTGCAATGGCCGGAGCTGCTCCAATTCGGAGCCAGGAGCTTCTTCCAGGTCTTCTATCCAGGTGCAGGGGCCCAAGGGCTTGGGCCATCTTCTACTGCTTTCCCAGGCCATAGCAGAGAACTGGATCGGAAGTGGAGCAGCTGGGTCTCGAACTGGTGCCCATATGGGATGCTAGCGCTTCAGGCCAGGGCATTAATCACTATACCACAGCGCCGGCCCCTCCAAATATTTTTGAGCTGTGGTGCATTTAATCCATGGGTGCAGAGCCCACATATAGAAGACCAACTGTATTAAGGACATGGAACATTCCATGTAGATGCCTCTGTCACTCCCCTCACCCCTCATGCACCCCTCTCCCATCACAGGGGCTCTCTCCCCCTAAGAGGTATCTACTGGCCTGGATTTTGGATTACCCGTTTTCTAGTTTTTCCTTCTTTCAGTTATTCTCAAGCTCTAGTGCATCACACTCACCTAGGGGGCTTGTTGAAACACAGATTGCTTGGGTAGGCATTTAGTCCAGCAATTAAGACAGCCACTTCCAGTATCGCTGGGCCTGGATTTGAGTCCGTATTCCAGCTTCATGCTAATGCAGACCCTGGGAGGCAGAAGGGGATGGCCCAAGTAGTTGGGAGACCTGGATTGAGTTCTTGGCTCCTGGCTTTGTACTAGCCTAATCCTAGCCATTTGCAGCCATTTCGAACATTTAAGGAGTGAATCAGCAGATGTGAGCACCCTCTTTCTCGCTCTATCTGCCCCCCTGCCTCTCTAATTAGACAACAAACAAACAAAAACCACAGATTGCTGGGTCCCAACCCCAGTTTCTGATTTAGTATATCTGGGATAGGGCCTAAGAATTTGCATTTCTTGTGAGTTCCAGGTGGTCCTTGCAGGACACACTTGGGGATGATTGCTGTATCTCACTCTTCAGTCTTCCCCTAAGCCCACTCAGTCAGGAAACACCTTCAGGACCTCACCCCCTTCTTCATCTCCTCCATTTACTCTCACCCAGTTTGTGAGTGCTCTGCCCTCAATGGATATTTTAATTGATCGTGGCATCATTTTTTTCTTCTCTGTTGATAATCCTATTCAGAATTTCTCTCTCCATGTGTGCTTCATTGTTAGTTAACCAGAAGGAAGAGTGTAAACAACATTAATATGGCTTATTCATCCAGTCTGTAAGCTCCTTAAAAGCAGGGACCAATTTCACCTCCCTTGTAATGCACTTCCTCAGTTAAGCTTCAGGCCACAGTTTGCAAACTCAGTTGCTTATAATGGCCAAAAGGTAACACAGGGATCAGTGTTGTGGTGCAGCAGGCTAAGCTGCCACTTGGGACACCCGCATCCCTCATCAGAGTACCTGGGATCTAGACTTGCCTCTGCTTCCTGTTCAGCTTCCTGCTAATGTGCCTGGGAGGCAGAAGATGATGGACCAAGTCTTTGGGCCCCTGACACCCGTGTGGGAGACCAGGATGGAGCTCTGGGCTTTTGGATTTGGCCTGGCCCAGCCCCAACTATGGTGGTCATCTGGGGAGTGAACCAGAAGATTTCTGTGTGTGTGTGTGTGTGTCTCAACCTTTGAAGAAATAAAACTTTTCTTTAAAAAAAAAAAAGAAAAGAAAGATTTAGGGGCCAGAGTTGTGGCATGGCGGGTTAAGCCACTGCCTGCAGTTCCAGCATCCTATTGGGCGCCGGTTCAAAACCTGGCTGCCCCACTTCCTATCCAGTTCTCTGCTATGGCCTAGGAAAGCAGTAGAAGATGGCCCAAGTCCTTGGATCCCTGCACCCATGTGGGAGACCCAGAGGAAGCTCCTGGCTCCTGGCTTCGGTTCAGCGCAGCTCTGGCCGTTGTGGCCATCTGGGAGTGAACCAGTGGATGGAAGACCTCTCTCTCTCTCTCTCTGCCTCTCCTTCTACCTCTGTCTAACTCTGACTTTCAAATAAATTAATAAATCTTTAAAAAAAATTTAAAGAATTTTTTTTAAAAAAGATTTATTTATTTGAAAGGCAGAGGCAGAAGAGAGAGGTCTTCCATCTGCTGGTTCACTCCCCAAATGGCCACAAAGGCCAGAGCTGGGCCTATCTGGAACAGAAGCCAGGAGCCAGGAGGTTCGTCTCGATCTCCACGTGGGTGCAGGGGCCCAAGAACTTGGGCGATCTTCTACTGCTTTCCCAGGCCATAGCAGAGAGCTGGACCGGAAGTGGAGCAGCCGGGACACGCACTGGTGTCTATATGGGATGCTGGCACTGCAGGCGGCAGCCCCCAGAAGTAAAACTTTCCAAAAAGCAATATAAATTCGTGACACTATTTATACTTAGTTACATCAGAAGCCATGACCTGTGTAAAGAGCGCAGCTGCTGCTTGTCTTTAAGCCAATCAAGGATTCATTGTTCTTAAATTTTCTCATTTTTTAAGAGAAATCAGAAATAATCATAACTAATCAGTACTTCAAGTAGACAGAACAGGCCACACAGAATCCATCTGCAGGAATCAGAACTGGATTCATTCCGTGTTTGAGCATCTTTGCAGTTAATGGACGGGTAGATGGATGGATGACCAGTGTGTGCGTGAGTGAATGAATGAGTGGACCTGGGTCGCCGTGGCAGCGCTGTGGTCAGAACTGGGGTAGTGGAAAGAACAAGCAATTGTTGAGTGGCTTCTGTGTGCCTGGCCCTGTGCAAGTGGCTTTTCCTAATTACCTCATTTGATCTTCATAACAACACCACAAGGTAGTTATTATCATTCTCGTTTATTTCCACACTCAATTCACAGATAAAGAAGCAGAGGCTTAGGAAGGTCAAGGGTCACACTACCAAGTTTCTTTATTATAACCTACCTAATTAAAAGTAAAAGCAAGCATTTCCGATGGACTCACATGATTCAATCTGTATTTGAACCTGGACAGCTCTTTTGTATGAAATTGTCACCAAAAAGGAATCAAGCTTGCAAAAGTCAAGTTGGGGGGGGGGGTTCCAGTAGGTCAGTGAGAGGGTGAGCTTTCTTGGGCATCTTGCTAAGCAATGTATAGCTTTGCTCTCTGCAAGAAGTCAGCCAACACTGAAGAGCCAAGACACAGGGCTCTCTCACCACCGTGGTGTGCCCTTGCTATGTCTCCCCATCCCCCTGCTTACTCCCCTCCCGGAATTCAAGACTTCTACCTGTCAGCTTGAGAGCTCCCGCCATCGTAATTCCTCTGTACAGACCAGTGGGATAAGGACAGACAGATACAGGAGCTATTTGGATGGAACACATTTTATTGGAGTTGCTGAGCCAGGCGAGAGTTTTCATCGGGTGGGAATCAGATCCTGTGAGCGCCCCCCTTCCAGTGGGGTTCAACAGTCCTAGGTCTTGGAGGGAATGGTTACTGAGCGTCAGGAGTTGCGCTCCTCAGTCCTTTCAGCTGGAGGGAGAGGGGGTGTGGTCAGGTTGGGGACCTCCGGGGCTGGAAGCCCAGTGTAGGGGTGGGGCACTGACAGAAAGGAGTTGCTGCTAGTCCGGGTTCCTGTTCTCTAAACACAGTAGTGAGATTTCCCTTGGCGGTGGAGAGAGCCACGAGGTCACATAGGAAGTAAATGTGGCCTCCTCCCATCCCCCTCCACCGTCCCCACTCTTCCTCCCAGGTCCTTAGCTTCTGCCCTCATGCCCGGCCCCTTACGCTGGTAATGCCCACCCCTTCTTACCTTAGGGAAGGCATCCCAGTTGAGGAATGGAAGTTTCTTTTTGATAGACTAAGAGGAAAAGAGAGATGGGAGAGTGCTGCGCGGCTGGTCGGGTGAGCACTGGGGGCTGAGCACCTGCTGACCCAGCTCCGTGCCAGCAGCCCGTGTTCGAGCCAATGTTCCCTGGGGCCTCCGTCTGCGTCTGCCTTGCCCTTGCTGCTCTGTGGGCGGGGCTTCACCTGGTCTTTACAGGTCCCCTTTGAGGAAGGTACTGTCATCCCCACATCACAGAGGAGGAAACTGTCCGCGGGGCCCCGGGCCATTTGGCTGAGGTCCCGTAGAAAGTGCAGGTGCGGAGTCTGAGCTGCAGCTCTGCCGCTGCCTTGGGCTTCTAAGTCTGGGTGGGCCTCAGTGCTTTCGAAGGATGAGGGCATTCCAATAAAATCTTGTCCAAGTTCTTTCTGGGAAGGTCTTTTGGCCTTGCTTCCCTGCTAACAACTAAAGAAAACAGTGTAGCCAGCATAGCCTGGGAGGGCGGGGGACGCTTTCTCTCTTTCTCTGGTTGATGACACACGGAGCAGCGTCCAGGCGGGGCGGTACTCCCTCCTCGAGCACAAGGACAGCCGCAAAGTGTCAAGGCTGGCACCTGCTACCACCCGCCTTGAGGGACCACAGACCCCGAAGAGAAGGCGCCCAGCTCCTACCTCGAAGAGGGCATGCCAGTTCAGGAATTCCTCAGGCTTTAAAGCCTGTGGGGAAAGAGAAACCGGAAGCCAGTCAGTGGGGGAAGGCCCTGGCGCAGCCCCCGCCCCCTGGGAAAGGTGGAGGCCCGTGGCGTGGCAGCTCCGCAAGCGCTCTCCCCAGGTGCCTGTCCGAGGGGCCAGCACCGAAGAAGTGTACTTACAGATTTCAACTTGTCGATGTTCAGGAACTGATTGTTAAAGGCCTAGGCACAAAAGCAGGGTGTTAAGACAGTTGCGGAGGAGCAGAGAGAGCGCGACCAAACTCAGGGCTAGAACAAGTGAGAAAGCCGAGTGCTTACCTCAGATCCCGCCGCATAATTCTCAATGCTGGTTTCTTCCTGCCAGGAGAGGGAGAAAAGGAGGCCAGTGATCCCACGGTGGCAAGTCCCTCTACTCCATCCCTCTGCCGGCTCTGCCTTCCTCTGCCAGCCACTCCCCCGGGATACAACCCACTGTGCACGCGGGGCCTCCGTGGCAGCCCCCTCTCTTCTAGTAATGCACACGGTTGGCAGGTGCATAGAGTCAGGAGGGGGGCTGGAGGGTGGCCATCCAGTCCCACGTGTGAGGTGGAGAAGTTTGACCCCCAGCCGGCATCCATGTAGGCGGAAGGTGGAAAGGGTGGACAAGAGAGGACCCCCCCCACCAAGAGCATCTAGCTGTCTCGTTCTGCAGTTGACTTCATTCTAAGAGTGATTGACTTAGAGTAGTCAAAGATACCCGTGCTTAGCCCTTCAGGCTGGGCGGGGAGATCAGGCCGCCCGGGTGGCCGCCTGCCTTTCACTGAGTGAGGCTGGTCTGCTCTGGAAGTTCAGCCACCAACTGTAGCGGCGCCCTGTCAGCTACCTTGCTCCTCCCTGCCACAGCCCCGGCGAGGTCCAGATGTTTAGCCCTCAGAGTGCTTTGGCTTATTTGTTGTTTAATTTAAGGTAAACGTGTTTAATTAGGAAGAAGTCATAAAGAAATCCAGATTTCCAGTTTCTCCTGGAAAAAGGTAACACTTTGGCCGCAGCCACATTGGGCACATTGTCCCACTGACTCTAGCAGCAGTGGGGTGGGGTAAAGACGGCCCCTTCAGCTAAGCAGGTGTGCCCTCCTCACCTGAAGCCCTGGCGGCAGCGCCCGCCCCCGCCCGTCCCTGACACTGCTTGCTTGGGTCCTCAGCAGTTGAGTCTGTGACCCTCATCTTAGCCACACAGAGTAGGCACCCTGCCCCTACTCTGGGACAAGACGGTTTCCTCTCTGGCTAGGGACTAGATGGTAAACATTCTTGCTGTGCCCCAGGCTCCTGGAAGCTGTTCACAGGGATGCAGAAGGAGCCAGGGTTAGGCTGACCCCAGATGACCCCCCTCAGCCCCCCACGTGCTGGCAGGAGGCAGTAAGGCAGCCGCTACCCCCACGCTTCACCGTCACTTCCAGAAAAGCATCTCTGCCCCTAGTGTCTGCCCAGGGCTGCCCTGTTCCCTCCCCCACTCCTGTCTTCTCAGAGCCCCAGCTTCTCATTCAGTCCCTGCCACGTCCACAGATCCAGTAACGGAGAGAAGGGAAAGAAACCGGGAGGGAGCTGGACACCAGAGATGTGCTCACCTCAGAACTCCCCAGGGAAGCCCCCTGGGCAGAGTGGAGCGCCAGGAGGGAGAGAAGAGCCACAGCAGGAAGAACTGGGATCTTCATGGTGTCAAGTTTGGGGTGCTCTGAGGCGGGGCCTTACCGCTCGCCCTTTATAGTCCCAAGCAGAAATGGGGTCCCCACCCCACTGACTCACCCCCAGATCCTGTCGCCCACCCCTGGGGCTCTAGAAGGGAGAGGCATGGACTGTTCCCCATCTACCTCGGATTTCTCAACCCACGTTCTGCCCCAGGCACTTGGAGGGCACGACTGCCGTGCGTTTGTTCATGCAAATGGGTGGGGGATGGAGACAGGTTGGACCTGTCCCTCCCGGGGTGGCAGTGGCACCCAAGCAACCTCTCCTTTTGTCTTTGCCTCTTTTCCTCTTATGCCTCATTCCTGCCTTCAGGAGTCAGACCCCTCCCCGCATCCTAACAAACTGTCTAAACTCTTTAGACTGGCATCGATGGCCTTCCCTGCTGCGGACTGACCCTGCCTTTCCAACTTTGCCGCTTTCTGCTTGCTTTGTCCGTACTTCACCTTCGGGCCTACATGGACCCTTTACCAAATATAACCTTTTTTTCTTCCTCCAGGCATCTGGCCATGCTGCTGCTTATTCCTAAAACACCCTTCTCTCATCTCCAGTTCCCAGAACCCAACATCTGTCTTGGGATTGCCCCCACCATCTCCCATCCTCACCTATCCCACCCCCAGCTGCACCACACACACACCCATCTATCCTTTCTCAGAATTGTCATGTCAAGTCATTTGTATCTGGCATTGTGCCTGAATTCATTTGTTTCTCACTTGGAATATCGAATGTCTTGAGCTCAAGTGCTGTGTCTTAATCAGAATACAGGTGGAGTTGGCATGTGTTAGGTGGGATGTGCTAGAATTGGTACGTTGGCCTCCTTCTACCAAGTGGGGCCCTTCCTCCTGCGGGGGCTGGCCCCTCCTATTAGCTGTGTCCCCATCTTTAACTCATGGGTCTTCTTCCAAGAGATGACTATCTTGAGTTAAGAGAAGGAAAAGAGAAAAAAGCAAAAACAAAAAAAGCAGGGCAGGACCAGGGCTTAGAGCTAGCCACCGGGAGGAGATGGCGTGCCCACTCCACTTCACTGAGCCTGTCCCACTTCTCTTCCCACCCCTAGCTTGGGAGTTGGAGCGCCTCAGAGTGACAGAATGTCCTGGTGAAGCAACCTTCCCACAGTGAGGTGCGGGCGGCCCGACCAGTTCCTGGTGTAATAGGGAGATGCTGGCTCATAGCAGGTTCTGCCAGGGCAAAGCATGACCTTATCTAAAGGTGGGCCTCTCTACCCCCACCTGAGGCAGTGCACCTGGACAGCAGGCCGGGGTGGGAGCACTGGATGAGCAGTCTAAGAGGAACCCCAGAAACTGGGCACTTCAGTTCAGTCCCTGCTGTCCCCACCCCCACCCCAGGCCACACTTCCTGCCCCTCTTTAGCCTCAGGAATCCTCCCTGTCTGTAATGGCGTCTGCCCCTTTGCAGAGCTACTGAGGGGACGGTGCTCCAGGAACACAAAGCACGGTTGGCCGACCATATGTCGGTTGGTGCCTCCGCAGGGGGCTGGAGCGCCTCCCAGAAGGCTTTCTGGAGCACACAAATCTGTGTGTGATGCATTTTCACTAATGAATGAGCAGTGACTGAAGCTCATTACCTGTGATTCTGTCAGGGTTGACCGAGGAGTGGAGGGAGTGAAGGACGAGACAAAGGAGAACTGTTGTGTGACCAGTTCCATCCAGACACGCAGAGGGAGGGACCCGCTTTCCATTTCTGGTTTGGATAATCTGAGCATCAGATGTCCCAAACCCCAGCATCTCTTTGGCTCCAAAGCCTGCTCTGTGATGGGTCTTTTACAACATCTTGGCCTCCGTATTTTTCTTTCCAGCCGGTGGTGCTGACAATAATGGTAATCAATTTATTGAAGGCTTACCATGCAGCATACCTTGAGCCAAGTGTCCTAAATGCATAATCTCACTGAAATAGCACGGTGATTCCGTGAGTGGGTACTATAATTATCCACATACTACAGGCAGGGGGCTGTGGCATAAAGAGGGTAAATCACTTACCCAAGGTCCCTCAGCCAGTGGGTGGCAGGGACAACAGTAGAACCCCAGGATTCCAGACCTTGAACCTGTTTTGTCCCTTGTCTGCGCTGTGGAGCAATAGCCTACACAGGGCCTTTGCCAGCCCGTGCAGCGCCTTGTGGGAATTATGCCGTGACCTGACAGCAGGGGCAGACTCCCCCCACCCCAGCCTCCGTGTCAGGTGTCCTATTGCAGTGTGCAGCCTACCCGCGCATAGAGGGCAGCTGCGGGTGTACGTGCACTAATTTAAATGAATTAAACTCTACCCTCTTGGCGAAACAAAAACAGAGAACACAGAGCTGCATGGCCCTGGATGAATGTGTGCCCTAGAATGAGCCCACAGTTGCCTCAGTTTCCAGATGCCTCTTAGACTCGTCATGCCAAGCGTGTGGCTAATGTGTGTGCTGAAGCATTCTAGTTCTGGTTCTGGTGTCACAGTTCTAGGGGTTAAAGGTGGGTGCTTTTTGTTTGATCCCTCTAAATACAAGCCAGCCGCTTCATGGACACAAGCAGAGAAATTCTGATGCTGTGCAGGGGAGGGAACTGACTGTGTCGCACTTGTCATTCAGTTCCATTCGGCGCCATCCCAATAGGTTCTCAGGGATCGTTTCGTCTTTCCGTGACTTTTGCTGTCAGTGCCAACTGTAGAAGCTGATGTGTGTCTCCACACTCCTCCCCATCCGCAGACCGCCTTGGAGGCTTGTGCTTCCTGATCGTCCAGAGTCCCCTGTCGGGGCAGGTGGGAAAAGGAAGAGGTGGAGGGGCTCTCACGGGAGACAGCGTCAGGCTCTCAGTGGCAGCAGGGGAGTCCACCCAGAATTCAGCTTTGCTTTGCCGACATCACACAGGGTCAGTGGAGGCAGGTGGAGGCAGAGACTGGCTGCATGATACCCAAGTCCAGGAAGTTGAGTTCTAGCTCCCGCACTGAGATTACAGGGAACTCCTGTTTTCCCACAGGCCTGCCCCCACGCCACCCCAAATCTGCCAGAACTTGAGCGTGGGTAAGGCCCAACCCTGATTGCTACATTGCAGTCACACCTAGGGGCTGGGCGCCAGCCTCATGGGTTATGAGAAGGAATGAGGGCTTGAAAGGAAGAACAGTGGGTCCTCAGGGCCTTGGTGAACCCCTAGGTGAGAATCCCAGGATACTGGAGAGAAAAGGGGCTGCGGCGTGTGGTGCTAGGGGGAAGTACTCAGGGTATCCCTGTCCCATCCCTTCCTCCCTCTGCCAATGTCATTGTCACACCCAAGAAAGCCACATCGCCCAGCAGGTCTGGTTTCTTGGCTGCCCACCTGGTGGTCACTTTGCTTAAACTTCTCCCAGGAAGACGTCCTCAGTGAATTCCAGCCGTCCTGCCACTCACTAATGTGTAAATATTTATGGAGCAGTCACTTTGGCCCCTGGTGCTGGGAACTCAAGACAGACGAAGTGTCTGCCCTATGGAGCTTAGGTTCCAGTGGGAGAGGCCGATCCTGATCTAATGAGACGTAAATAAGCAAACAAGGTAGCTTCAGAGAATGACAGGCACTGTGATGGTGATTAGACAGGTTCCTTGGTCAAGGAGACCAGGATGGACAGGAGAATTTGGATCTGAAAGGACTTGAAGCTCCGGCCTCCTGAAGACCCCGGCGTCCAGGACCAGGACGGTGTCGCCTGAGTGCCTTCCCAGCAGGTCCTCGATGACATTGGCAAGGGCGGTCAGGGTCAGATCACACAGAACCACAGGGCCGAGCTGGCATTATATTCGAGGGCCAGTGAGAAGCTCGTGGGACGGATCTGAGCAGAGACCCGGCCCTGGCCGTCATCGGGGAATTGATTGATTATAAGGACACAAAATGGAAGTTGGGACTCTAAGAGGCTGCTGTAGAAGCCGACAGGGGAAAGAGGTCACCTGCCCTTTAGCCTTTGTCCTTAACCTGCTTCAGGTGCTCCTTAGCATTCAGAGAGCTGCCTCAGCCGTTTGGAGCAGGGGCGCCCAGAGTCCCCGTGTTAGCCACCTCTGCTGCTCCCTGCCTGCCCCCAGGCCTGGCTTGGGAAAACCTGTGTTCCCAGCTGCTTCCACACACACACACACACCACACACACACACATCACATACACCACACACACATACACACACCCTGGCACTCCTCGGGAGCTCGCTGTCAGTCAGCACACACACACACACACACACACCCCAGCCCTCCTCCTCACTGTCAGTCAGCACACACACACACACACACACACACATACACACACCCCGGCCCTCCTCCTCGCTGTCAGTCAGCACACACACACACACACACACACCCCGGCCCTCCTCCTCACTGTCAGTCAGCACACACACACACACACAGACACACACCCCGGCCCTCCTCCTCACTGTCTGTCAGCACACACACACACACACAGACACACATCCCGGCCCTCCTCGGGAGCTCGCTGTCAGTCAGCAGCAAGGATCCTCATCCCCGGGACAGCCCCACGCTCTCCTCCCTGTGGATGCAAGGAGCTACTGCAAGGCCCTCTCCAGCTGAACCCCAGATGGATACAAACCAGGAGCCACAACTCGAAGGCTAAAGTGAGAGGGGAGGCAGAGCAAAGGGGTGCCCTGAGCTTCCTGCCAGTGTTGTGGGTGTGGTCCGTTTGGTTTCCAGGACTTCTGGCTGGCTTCTTTAATTGATCTATCAGCCTGGGGATAAATCAGGGACTGAGGCAGACAGGGGCCAGGCCCTCAGGGAGCCTGCGTTCTGGGAAGGCGTTGGCAGGCTGTCCAGGTGCTTCCTGTCCTCGTTCTTCCCCAGCCCGGGAGGGGGCCAGCAAGGGCAGTGGTGGGGCGCGTTGTACCATCTAGAAGGGACTAACTGCAAACCCTGGGGCCCGTCCCCAGGGCTCCTCAGCTGTGACAGGCCTGGGCTCGGCCTGCCCCTGCGTCTTTTGTGGCTATATCGTAACGCAGATGCTCCCTGCTTCGCTCCCTCTGCATCCAGGAAACACGGAGCCTCTGCGAATGGTGCAGGACTGGGTTCAGCCCAGCCACCTCCCAGCCCCACGTGCTGCACACATCGGCCCAGCCACACTCCTCACCCAACTTCAGTGGATTCACAGGGCGGGGGCACCCTCTCTGCCAGCCCCTTGCTCCTGTTCCTGCCCTCTCCCTGACCCCCTGGGGCCAGTCCCCTCGCTGTAACAACCTCTTCACTCTCTTTACTCTTCCTGGTGTGAAAAATTCTGTTGTTTCTGCAGGCTACCAAAGCACCTATGATTGCTTAGAGTGCACGAAGCCAAGATAGGCTCCGCAAAGAGTATAGTTCACAGTGGGGAAACCGAGGCACGGCGTGGTCAGCTCTTGCTTGTTGTCAGGACTGAAGACCTCTCTCAGCGCCCCTTGTTTGACACCCACTCTGGGGAGGAGGCGAGCTGTCTGCTTCTAAATCCTTCTCCCAGCCTCCCTGATCCAGGCCAGCAGACGCAGTATGAAAGAACACACTTTGAGGAAGCCGTAGGGAGGCAGGAATTGTGTTTTTATTTCTACAGAGAACTCAAAAGTGGGAAATTCCTCCTGCAAATTGTCACAGTGACTTCAGGTGAAGTCGGTGAAGAAAGCGCTTGGTTTATCGGAGGCTGTGGGCGTGGGGACACCACAGTGGAGCGGGAATACTGAGGAGCAGTGAACCAGGTCCCCAACCCAGAGCCCAGAGCAGGGCCGGCGTGGGCCGCAGAGCTGCTGGGAGGAGCTCGGCAGGCTCCTCGCTGGCGATGTTTGCCAGGGCCTCCGCGTGGACTGGAGGAATCCTCTAGAAGAAGGAGACAGTTGGTAGAAGGTGGCCACTCGCGAGTCTGCTGAGCCCGGACACCCTCACATCCAGCTCCAGGCTCTGGCAGCCCCTTTGCTTTCCTACCTGTCCCACTGCGCTCCCTCGCTTTTGTCCTAAAACAGACTCTGGAGTTCTGCCAAGTTCTGTTCCGTCTTCGGCTCACGCCTTCCTGCGTCTGAACCCTTTCCCGTGAACGAGCGCCTCTCTGCCTCTGCCTGGGCCTGAGCTCCTCCCCCCACGCCCACTGCTCAGCCCCTTGCCCGTAGGTGCTTCCCAAGTGTCGTTCTCTGAGTCGTCCCACAATGGGGTCTCCTCCTTCTCAGTCCCTTTGGGCCTCCACTCCGAGCAAACCGGACTTTGCATGGCTGAGGGCTGAGGAAATGCCAGGATCCAGCTCTGCCCCCAACAGGTGACTCTGACACTCACCTACCAAAACTTCACCCACTGCAGCAGGCCAGGTTGCACCCGGGAGGCCTGCAGGATGAGGACAAGGTCAGGAGGGCATCACATTATCCCCCTCCGGCCTCTCCACCACAGTCTCTCAGCCCTTGTACTCACTGAGGAAGAAGGTGTGACTCCTCCCTGGAAAGAGAAGATCAGAGGTCATGATGTGCGCTTTGCTGAGGCCCCGGGGCTCTCACAGGGCCTGGGGGCAGGGGCACTCAGACCGGATTCCCCCCCGCGGTCCTTCAGCCTGCCTGTGGACAGTCGGCCAGGGGAACTGCTTTCCAGCAGATGAGTCACCCTAAGTCCATTCTACCCCGATGACTTGGAGCATGGTCCCTGCACACACTGGCCAGGGCGGCTGGGAAGACAGAGATCCCGTCTGCCTGCCTGGCCAGAAGCTGGCCACAGATGCTTGGCAAGGCGGCCACCACGGGGAGGATCCACGGCATCTCCCCTCCTTTCCGTCAGCATGTGGCTCTTGATCTCTTTCTAGAAGGACCTCTCCCTCAGGAACTTTATCGTTCTGGGAGACGGAAGGAAATACCTGGCTGGTTTGTCTTTGCCAATCTAATTAGTATTTAGCATACTCACTTGCTATTATTATAAGATTGCTTTAAGATTTGTTTATTTGAAAGGCAGAGTTCGAGAGAGATGGGGGGGAGAGAGAGAGCAGCTTCATATGCTGCTTCACTTCCCAAATGGCCACAATGGCTGGGGCTGGGCCAAGCCAAAGCCCAGAACCTGGAGCTCCATCCAGGTCTCCCTTGTGGGTAGCAGAGGCCCAAGCACTTAAGCCAGGCACATTAGTGGGGAGCTGGATTGGAAGCAGAGCAGCTGGGACTTGAACCAGTGCTCCTGTGGGATGCCAGCATCTCAGGCAGGGGTTTAACACGCTGTGCCACAGTGCCGGCCCCTGGGCTAGCTGCTTCTAAGAGCGAATCTGCTTGCCTCTCCCCCCAGTACAATTGGCCGAGAACAAGCACCTCCCAGTAAAGCTGTCTTTTCCACGCATCTCATGATTTCCTCATTGAGAAGACTCTGGTTTCCAGTTCTCTCCATTGCATTTGACAAAGCTGCCGCTGACTTTGAACTTTCTGCAGGTGGGTGGGTGTGAGAAGTGTCAAACTCTTCTGCCCTCCACTTGCGGACTGCCCTCCATCTCCCTGATGGAGGGCGAGGGTGGGGGGCACGGTCATTGGTGAAGACACCATTGGAGGTGCCGCATCCCATATCAGATGCCTGGGTTTCAATCCTGCCTCTACTTCCAGCTTCAGCTTCCTGCCAGCACACCCTGGAAGCTATCAGGACTTGTATCCCTGCTACCCATGTGGGAGACCGAGTTCCTGGTTCCTGGCTCCTGGCTTCAGCTTGGCCCAGCCTCAGACATTGTAGGCATTTGGGAGAGTGAACCAGTGGATAGGACATCTCTGTCTCTCTGTCTCTGTCTCTCTCCATTTCTGTCTGATTTTCACATTTTTTTTTTATTTAAAAAGCATCGGAGGCCTGGGTTTCCAAGGAAACAGGACGCAGGCCTAGCTAATCAACGAGACCCCAGGGGAAACCAGGGCAGGTGCCAGTCTCACCTTCCCAGGAGTCTTGACTGTGTACTGTATGCCATAGGCGGTAGGATGTGCCTGCTGGTTGTAACTGTAGTTCTGAGAGACAAAGAGGGAAGAGAGGGATGAAGGCGTATTGCTCCGGGATAAACACCCCACGCCTATGCCCTGAGAGACGTCTTAAAGCTTGCCCCCACCCCTGCCCGTCACATGATTTCCTTGACCAACTCTCCTCCAGCCAGCCGGAGCCCACCCACTCACCTCCCTCAACCGTGCAGCCCAAATGGCCTGCCTCCTGCGCCCCCCAGGACCTCCCCTAACTCAAGTGTTAACTCAGGAGGTGACGATAGGAGACCCAGGAAAGTCGGGAAGTCTCAACCCCGTGGTCGGGTGCTGGATCTCTTGCCTTGGAAGTTACAGCCGGCCGCTCTTGCCGTCCTGCGCCAGGCTGAGGAAACTGTGGAATGGGAGCGTGAAAGAGGATTTCAGCCGGGCCAGCCCCAGGCAGTGGAGGCTCCTCCCCCGTCCCCCCACCCCCACACCCACTGCCTCAGCCCCGGGGCTGGGAGGGCGCCGAGACTCACCTGGTCAGCACCGCCTGCCCGCTTTTGCAGTGATGAGGCATCCGCACCCTGAGTGGCAGAGAGGAGCCATGGCCAGTGTCGCTGTGGTGCTTCAGGCCAGGCCAGATTCCCCCTCCCCCAAGCTCCAGCTCCCACTGCCCAGGCTCTGCCCTCCTCTGGGAACCCCAGGGTCACCCTCCCCACCCCGCCCTTCTCGGCGGTACGTGATGAGTGCCGTGAGCCTGCAGGAGGGTGATGGCCCAGATAGATGGAGGACACCCATTTCCACACTCAGCGTCGGCAGAGAACCGGATTTGGCAACAGTCCCCCCCCACCCCACCCCCCCGCCACTGTGCACCTACAGCACTGGCCTGAGAGCACTCTGGAACAGCACGGGTTCAACCCACACTGGCCCCCTGGGGCCGAGCCGGGCACCTGCTGTGCCTACACTAAAGCCCACTGCTCCGTGCAGAGGCCCTTCCATGCCTGTGCACAGAGAGGCTACTTTCTACAGACGCTGAGCCGTCAGCATAGCTCTGGGCGGGAGCAGGGAAAGAAAGCAGACTCGCCATGAGGGCACTCCACAGATGCCCTTGGCGGCAAGGGGGAAATCCCAAGGATTAGGAAAGCAGTCCGGTTCCTGCCATTGTCGCTCCTCTGTCGGGACGGCCTACACACATGCACACACACACGCACATACGCACACACACAGGATGGCCTACATACACACACACACACACAGTCTGAAAGGTAAGCCCTACCTCTGACTTAACTCTGCTTGATCCACACTCCACCTGAGCCTTAATCTCACCTGTACCTTAATCTCCCTAACACTGAGGTCACAGACCGTCTGTCCACAGGCCTCCACACATTTTTCACTTGTGCTGCCTTTTTTTTTTTTTTTTGACAGGCAGAGTTAGTGAGAGAGTGAGAGAGACAGAGAAAAAGGTCTTCCTTTGCCGTTGGTTCACCCCCAAATGGTCGCTATGGCCGGTGCGCTGCACCAACCTGAAGCCAGGAGCAGGTGTTTCTCCTGGTCTCCCATGGGGTGCAGGGCCCAAGCACTTGGGCCATCCTCCACTGCACTCCCGGGCCATAGCAGAGAGCTGGACTGGAAGAGGGGCAACCGGGACAGATTCCGGCGCCCCGACCGGGACTAGAACCCGGGGTGCCGGCGCCGCAGGCGGAGGATTAGCCTAGTGAGCCGCGGCGCCGGCCATTGCGCTGCATTTTTAAATTAGATTAATTGTGAGTAGTTCAAAATCAGTCTCCCAGCTTTCCGTGAAAGCTCACATAGCAGCGCAGGTCAGGTCCTACAGGTGTGCGTGGACATCAGCTGGATGGAGGGCCTTGACACCTCCCCTTGCGTGGCACCCCCTGTTCAGCCTCAGGTTCTTCAGCTAGTGCCCAAGGATTCTGTTGCCCAAAGGCCACTCCAGTCCAGGCGTGGTCTCGTACAGGACCCAGAGGCCCTGCCTTTCCTTCCCGGGCCCCAGACAGTCAAACCCCCAGCACCTGCTTGCGCTCGCCCGTGACCCAGCCCCTCCCGTGTCACGTCAGCTTTCCTCCCCACTGCCCCTTCCCAGCGCCTGAGAGCCGACCTTAGCCCCACGTCCCCTCCCCCTCCGCGCCTCTTGGCCCCCCACCTGCTCATCCTGCAGTACCCACCCAGCTGTGGCTCCCCCAGAGCCAGGCCAAACCCAGCAGGAACAGCAGCAGAGCGGAGACCGTGGCCGGCTTCATGCTTCAGGGACTGGGGAGGCCCCGAGCCTCGGGACCTGGGCTTTTATCCCAGGGTGGACCTCCCACCCTACTCTCAGTGACTCACAGCCTCTCGCTGCCACCCCACCCCCACTCAGGGTTGCATAAAGATGGGAAGGCACCTCCCTCCGCAGGGAGGGGAAGAAACTGGGGCAAAATCAGCAAGCCACGAGCCCAGGGCCTTGAACCCCAACTTCCCAGAGCTGAGCTGCCTCGCCCTTACCTCAATAATTTCTTTCCAGTTGAGGAAAGGGGTGTTGCGTTTGAAATCCTGAAGGGAGAGGGAAACAGGAGTGGGCCCGGGAAGACACAACCCGCAGGGTGCCAAGTGGCGGGGTGCTGGGAAGGTTTCCAGATCCCGGGTCCCGTGGAGGGCTGGCGCTGGGACTGGGTGTGGTTTGGGGTTCAGTGAAGATAAGCACATGGGAGGTTGAGGGCAGCAGAATTTGCGATGGAATTGGTGATAAGATCTGGGGGAGATTACCCAGTGCAAAAATGCAAAGAGGGAGTTTGTGATGGGGAGGCTGGAGCCCAGCATGGCTGCCCTGAGGGAGGCCCGGACCAGGAAGCAAGGATTTGCCTACCTCCCAGAGTCGTCGGAAGTAGAGGAGGGCTCGGGTGCTGGGGGCCGGGAGTTGGCCCTGTGGATGAAAGGTGGGGAGCAGTTAGCAGGGAGCCAGCCTCTGGCTCCTGCTACTGTCTCTCAGCCTGCAGGATCCCGTGGTGACTCAGGGTGGGGAGGAAGGGGGTGCTGAGAGTCCTTAGGGAACTGCAGAGAGAGGCTGGGTCTCCGAGCCTCTACCCAGCTGCCCTGCCCCCAGCAGTGGGAGCACGGAGTTCTCTCTCCCGGCTCCCCCTGCCTCTGTAGCGAAATCTCACCACCAGGACCTGGCCCCAGAGCGCCCCACCTTTTCCACCTGCTGGGCCACCTCCAGCCTGTCTCCCAAGCTATGGGACCGAAGCCACCCCGCCCCAGCCCCCAGAACAACAGTGAGACGTAAGAAAGGAGCAGAGACGGGAGTCGGGGGCAGCTGCGGTTTATTTCAAGGGCAAGGGTGGAGGTTAATGATGAGAGGCGCTCTAAGAGGGGCTGAGGGCCTCCCTCCGTCTGGTGGTTCCTTGTCTGGAGGTCATGGGATGCGAAAGCTCCTCTGGTCCTGGGCAAAGGAACAGGTTCAAAGAGGGAGCTGGAGGAATAGCAATTCAGGGAAGCGGCGGGCCAAGACCAGGGCAGCGTGGATCCCTGCTCCAGAAAGCAGCAGGAGCCTTCTCTCCCCCACTGTCATCCAGGCAGATCCTGATGTCCCAGCCTCGGCATGAGCGCCCCTGTGTCACTCGGAGCGCTAAGTGGCGTCCCCTCCCCGCTCCTCACTCACCGGGAGTCTTCAGCTCTTGCCCCCACGGCGAGGGGAAACCTGCCCTCCAGGGAGCTGGCCCTGTGACTCCTGCCTGCCTCCCTCCCTTTACTGTCCCTCTGGTGAGCAAGAACGCTCTGGGACCCCAGGGGCCACAGGAGGGAGGCATGCCCCCACAGAAACTGTCCTGGGTAAAACAGTCCTGTCCCTGCTCAAACCGGGAAGCCGCGGCCGCCGGGGCCTTCTGCACTCCTCTCTCTCCCGAGAGGTCAGCCTGATTCTCCTCCAGGTTGGGCCTCCTGCCCTGTGGAGCACAGGATTTCCCAGGGCAGGGCTCCAGTCTTCATTGCCCTACAGGAAGGCTCGGGCCCTCACCTGCTCACGGGGGCCAGTCGGTGGCTAAACCGCCTGTGACAGGCAGGGGTGGCTTGGCCACTGTAGGGCACGCGCCCATGGCCAGAGCAGCTGCCACTGGGCTTGGGCCTGTCACGCCCCGTGGAAAGGGGGGCCTGCGGTTGCCAGATTTCTCAAGAGAAGTCGGAAATCCGGGTTATTGTGTGAAGTCTCTCAAGTTTTTAACTTTGGCAACTAATTAATACTCTTTTAAAAAGATAGAGAAAAGCTCAGACAGCACAGGGTGGGCCCCCAGGGAGAACTTCTGGCGTGGGCCGCTGGGCCGCTCCCCTGCCCTCTCCGTGCTGTGCAGCCCAGCCCCTGCCCTGCAGATGCAGCCTCACTCTGGTGTCAGTCAGCCTGGCCAGGGCCCCCCTGCAGAGGAGGGCGGGGTTCTGGCCTCTGTCTTCTAAGATTACCAGTGCCCACTAGCACCAGGCACCTGGCAAATGTGTGCTTCCTTCTCCTGTCTCTGGGCCCCTCTGTCTTGGTGTCGCCTTTAACCCCCCAATTCATGCGGTCTTACCCAGGGGCTTAGGCCTACGTACTGTCCCCTCAACATTCCAAGTCAGGGGGAACAGAAGTCTAGAACCCATCAGGTCCCCATGTTGAGACATCAGAGACCCATCCCCTCCCTGCATGCACCCCCACTCCCAACCGTTTCCAGTGTTTCTGCTGTCACCCACCTCCCTCCACCTCTGTTTTCTGTTTTGTTTTGTTTTGTTTTGTTTTGTTTTGTTTTTAGCGCTGCCCTAAGCACTGTCTCGGGGCCCTCGTCATGGGTTCCTCGGTTCCACAAGCAGAGGTCAGCTTCCTTCCCCCACAGCCCGTTCCCACAAAGCTCTGCTTGCACGGCCTTCCAGCCTTACCTTGTTTATGGCGTCCCAGTTAATGAAGCCCAGCTTGGATTTAAAATTCTGCAGAGGCAAAACAAAAGGAAAAGAAAGTGGGTCATAATGTAGTCGGCCCAGGTCTCGGGCCAGGAGCAGTCCAGGGCTGCTGCTGACCGCTGGTGCAGAGAGAACTTCCCGGGGAGCAGGCGCTTGGCCTGGCACATACCACACCTGCCTCCCGGGTGTGCGTGCCAGCCCCAGCGTCCTGCCAGTGCACACTGTGGATGCTTCAAGTTCATTGGTTCCTGTCACCCAGGAGACCTGAGCTGCAGTTTGTAGCTTTGGCCCTGGTTGTTGCAGGCATTGAGGGAATAAAGTAGTGGCCTCTCTCTCTCTCTCTCTCTCTCTCTCTGCCTTTAATGCCTCTCAAATAAATAAATTTTTAAACTAAAAATAACTTGAAGAAAGAGGACTCTAGCCTGGGGCCATGGGGCAGGGGTTGGTTTTCCAAAGAGGATTGAGCCGTGCCGTCTCCCGGAACTCACCTTCCAGAACGTGTCAAAGTTGAAGAGCTCAGGCGCCGTCTGCGAGTTCTGAGGACCCAGTGAGACAGGGAGTGAGACTGTGACCTCACTCCGTGAGCCAGCGGCAGGCGCAGGAGGCACAGGGTCGGGAGAGGAGGTGAGGGGGGTCCCACCCCAGGGTCCCAGCCCAAGGTGGAATCACACCGCACCACTCACCACGCCACTGAGTCCGTTGACAACGTCACCTTTGCCGCTGCTGTCCCCATCAGAGCCTTGCCCCTGGGGGAGGCAGGGGGGCAGATGTTCAAGGCTTCCGCATCCCATCAGCCTGCCCCGGCCCGCGCACCTCCGCCTTTGCTCCTGTACTCTGAAAGGCCACCTGCCCGTCTGCTCACCGCACTGAGACTCCAACCTCTGAGAGCCTTCCTAGGAGGGAACTTGCTGCAGGTGGCCCTACCCAACCCCTGAATCATATTCCTCTTCTCTCCTCCATCTTCTCCTGTCCCCCCAAACGTCCCTGGTAGTGAGAGTACTGCCAGGCACTGCGCTGTGCCCTGCTTCAGAGTGGAACTGGGAGGTAGCCAGCGGCTGGCCTCAGGGCCTGTCTCCAGTGTCTGACCCTGCGCCTCCTCGGTCTGGCTGTGACACACAAAGCTCTAGGGCAGCTGTGGGAGGTGAGCAAGTCACAGCACACTCCTGCTTTCCCTGGGAAGCCAGGCGCAGGGAGGGCCACTGTCTTGCCCAAGACGCACAGCCGACAAGTCACTCAGAGTCGCCTCACTCAGTCCAGCGACTTCCCACCTCTCAACACTGCCTTCCTGTAAACACGATTTCAGGGTCCGGCATTGTGGTGCGGTGGGTTAAGCCACTGTTTGCAATGCCAGCAGCCCATACTGGAGCATTTGTTCAAATGCCAGCAGTTTCACTTCTAATGCTCCTGCGGAAGACGGGACGAGTGCTTGGGCCCTGCCACCCACGTGGGCGACCCAGCTGGAGTTCCAGGCTCCTGGCTTCGGCCAGGCCCAGCCCCAGCTGTTGCAGACATTTGAGGAGTAAGCCAGCAGATGGAAGCTCTCTGTCTCTCCCTCTCTCTCTCTGTAACTCTGCCTTTCACATAAATAAAATCTTTTTTAAAAATACAGGTTTTTAAAACATCCCCTAACCCATTGTTGTGTGATTTTTGTCTGGTTTTCCCCTCACAGCGGAAGGGAGGGAATGAATGAATGAATGAATGGAGGCGGCGTGGAGGTCCCGGATCCCCATCTGGTTCCCAGCGATCCCAGGGCAGACTCAGAGCGCCTGGGAAGAAGCCGCGTTTTTTGCTGCTTTTCAAGGCCCTGAGCTTTCTGTGCCCGCACTGCAGACTCGTGATGCCAGCCCTGCCTCCGCCAGCTCACCTGATGGCTGCTCTGGGAGCCCCCAAGGAGGTGACTGCTCTCTCTGCTTTCCTGGGGAGACAGGGGTGAGGAAGAGTCAGCAGGGAGGAGAGGGCGGGATAGCAGGGTGCAGGTGCGGGGCTCAGAACGAGGAGACGGAGCCCCAGGCAGCACCGAGGGTGTCCCGGGTCCTCAGCACGAGGTCCTGTCCGGCAGGGCTTGTCTCGGCCTCCTGGGGACCAGGCACTGCTCACCAACGGCGTCTGTGGACGGCAGCGCCGTCTGCCCATCTGCTGCCCAAACTCCAACAGGACAGGAGGGCCTCTGTCGTCAGAGCACCTGAATCGTCCCTGATTTGGAAACCCCAGCAGGCCTGGCTGTCAGACGGACTTGACCTCAGCCGCCTGGTGTTTCACGTGGGCAGAAAAGCGCTGCTGGCTGGACAGAGCCTGGGGACCTTCGTGCGGGTGTGGCCCGGTCTCCTGCCGAGTCAGCCCCTGGTTCTCTTGGTTTCCTCACTGCCAGGGCTCACACGGGGACTCGCTGGGATCTGGGACTGGTCTCTGCTGGTGCTGTTACCGGACTGCCAACCACCATCACGTGTTCTGCTGCGCAAGGCCTGCGGTCCCCTCTGACGCCGCGAGGGATGAGACAGTGAAGCCCAGCTCCCTGTTTCAGATTCTGGGGCCAGCCCCCAAGATGAACGTGTGCTTTTGCTAGGATTCCCCTCAAACTCCTAATGCAGTTCTCTCCTGGAATTGGTCAGAGTGGATGGGACTGGACCATGTCCAGCAAAATGAAGTCCAGATAGGGCACAAGTCAAATTGAAAACCAGAAACCCTCAGTATTCTAATGCTAGAAAAAACTGGACTTGTAAAGCAACACGCCAGGAACAGGAACCATAGAGAAAAAGACTGATTTTTTTTTTTACTACCTGCGTATTCAAGACTTTGGTGCATCAAGACTAGAAATAGAATTACAAACCGGGAGAACGTGTCTTAAAACCTGTGTTCTCACGCATGCAAGGCTAGTATCCCTACTGGAAGAGGAGTGTTTCAGAGAGCAGAGTCAGCAGAGCCCCAAGGCCAGCGCCAGCTTTTCCCATGGGGCCTTGCTCCTCACCATGTGGGCCTGCCCCCAGAGCTGGCCCCGCCCCACAGCTGCTCAATCCCAGCCTGCGCCTTCACAAAGCCCGCAGGTGGTTGGTGTGGATACGAGTGTCACGCCTGCTGTGGCGGAGCCTCAGGTGCAGGCAGAAAGCCCAGATTTCCAGAATAACTGGAGGGAAATGAGCTTTCCAAAACACTTGTGCCAGGAATTCACCAAATTCCGCTCGCTGGCCAGGGCTAGGGCATTTGCAGTGATGGTGTTTCTAGCTGGACTCCCTGAGCTGCACAGGATCCCTCGCAGCCCTGTCTGTGCTGCAGAGTCAGGAACAGGTCGCAGGCTTTGCTGTGAATTATTACTTGGAGACTGTTAGTCCTTACAGGAGTAAGCACTTGGGTTTTTTCTGCCTGAATTGTCAGTTTCCCCCACGGGTTGGATGGGAGAGTGACAGGTAAGGGGCTGAGACAGGAGGGGTGGACACAGTGGCAGTGAGGAGCAGCGCATCTCTCACCTGGCTCCCAGATCCTCCGCTCACTCGGGCATCGTTCCCAGGGTTGTCACACTGTGGGACAGAGAAGAAGGCTTTGTTCCCCTCTACCCCAGTGCAGTGCGTCCCCCCGCCCGGGGTGGGGCACCTCCGTCGTCCCCCCCCCCCCCCCCGCAGAGCCCTCCCCCCCCCCCCCCCCCGCTGCCTTCTCCCGCGGGAGGCATGATTCCGCTTGGCTTGTGCCTCTTGCCGCAGCTTGAGGGCTGTTGGGGCTGCGTGCGCCCACTGGCCGCTCACCTCGGGTCTGTGTCCACCTCCGCTGCCGCCGCTGCTGCTTGAGGAAGGGCCGGAATTGGTTCCCTGCAAAGAAAGGCACAGGCTGTCTTAAAAGGACGCGCGAAGGGACCACTCGGCTCCCCGCTGTGGTCTGGATTATTTGCAACACTCGGTCTCTTGATCAGATTCCCACGCCTCTCCAACCTCCGCACCTTCCCCTTCTTTGGCCAATGAGCCCCTGGGCGACGCTACTCTGAGCACAGAGAAGGCCAGCTGGGGCCTGGCGTTTGTGCAGATGCGCGATAATCAGGTTATCTGAGTCCCGGGCCTCCATCCCCACGACTCCTGCGGCGGGCTAGAGCGCAGCTTGGATCTCGCCACCAGGGGGCAAGCCGGGGCCGGCCCCATTCGGCCTCACCTGTCTCTCCTGCAAGGTGCAAGCTCCAGGGCCTCCTGGCGCCCCTACCTTGGAGACTGAGAAACTTTGGTCCACGTCCCTGGAAGTTTCTAAAGGCCGTCCCTAGATGGGAGAAAAGACGGTGGGATACAGAGCAGTGCGTTAAAGCAGCTTGTCGTGGACCTAATGCCTTGCCGGCACCCTCCCGCCTCCCAGGAAGCCGGATGTGGCTCCCAGCCCCTCTCCTGAGCTCTCCCATGTGCATGGGCAGGAGGCGCTGCTGGCCTGGGACTAAAGGACCCCCCAGCATGACCACCACCAATGACGCCATCCCCCCACCCGAGCTATGGCAGCCTTCAAGGACCACCAGGGTCCTCACCCCATCTCTGCCTTCAATAAAGGAGCAAAACTCACCCCGCCTGGCCCAGAACTGCTACTGCCACTGCTACCATGGCTGCTGCTGCTGCCGCTGCCACCACTGCCGCCGCCGTGGCTGCTGCTTCCGCCGCCGCCGCCGCCGCCGTGGCTGCCACTGCCGCTGCTGCCGCCGTGGCTGCTGCTGCCGCCGCTACCACCGCTGCCGCCGCCATGGCTGCTGCTGCCACCGCTGCCGCCGCTGCCGCCGCCGTGGCTGCTGCTGCCGCCGCTGCCACCACTGCTGCCACCGTGGCTGCTGCTGCCACCACTACCACCACTGCCACCACCGTGGCTGCTGCTGCCGCCACTGCCACCACTGCCACCACCGTGGCTGCTGCCGCCCTGAGGGGCAGGAAGAGGGAGTGTGCAGATTAAGGTCAAGAACACGGAACAGCTCCTGCTCGCCTCCCTCCCCGGTGATCCCGTCGAAGGGGAGCAGAGTTGGCGCCTTGGCTGCTCTTACCCCAGGGTTGCTGGAGCTTCCACCCGAGCCGGAGGGCGGGGCGTTGGTGCACTGTGGAGGGAGTGGACGAGGAGTTTAGAGATGTCCGGCAAAGCGTCTCCACAAGCAGGAGGCTCCTGGTCCGTGTGGCCTGGCTTCCCTTCCCCTCCATGGCCCTCCCTCCCGCCAGCCTCCTCCCCGTGCCCCTGTCGTCCCGGCCCAGGGGCCCAGGCTTCTCTCCCTGCCACTCTTTCTTCCCCCTTCGCCACGCCCTGTTTTCTGTCACACACACTCCTCCTCTTACCCCTGTGTTGGGGTTGCTGCCTCTCACTGAACCGTAACCAGGCTGGGCCACTGCTCCCTGCAGGGAGAGAGAGAGAAAGACGAGTGTGGTCTCTGGAAGGCCGAGGAAGGGAGGGGGCGCGGAGAGTGGGGCTTGAAGGGAGGCGGGGGGGGGGCGGGGGCAGGGGGCAGGGGGCAGGTAGCCGGGCTGGGCTGGCTCCCTCACCTGAGCATCCGTCCCAGAGCCGAATGGTGCGCCGTTACCTCCTTGGCCCGAGGAGCCTCCGGGAGAGTAGGTTCCAAAGCTGCCTTCCGAGGCTCCCGGGTACCGCTGGCCCCAGGGGGTCCCTGGACCTCCAGGATTGCTCCCCTGAGAGTCCAGGATGCCATGGCCCCCCGACGAACCCTGCCAGGAGAGCACACCTGCGCTCAGTGTGCCCATCTCTGGTGCACGGCGGGCGGGCCAGCCAGAGCCGGGCAGGGACACAGTACAGAGACTGCACGGCAGCAGAGGGAGGGAGGCTGTGTAGCACGGGAGGGAGGTGCCCCCGACAGCTTCAGAGACCCCAACATCCCTGCAGCTGCTTCCCAAGTCTCAGCCCAGCCGCAGCCCTCCAATTTTGTGGGGCTTTGTTAAGATTTATTCTATTTATTTTGAAAGGCAGAGTTACAGAGAGAGACAGAGATCTTCGATCTGCTGATTCACTCCCCATATGGCCCCAATGGCCAGCACTGGGCCAGGCTGAAACCAGGAGCCAGGAGCTTCTTCTGAGTCTCCCACATGGGTGGCTGGGGCCATCTTCCACTGCTTTCCCATGTGCATTAGCAGGGAGCTGGATCACAAGTGGAGTAGCCAGGACAGGAAGCAGCACCCATATGGAATGCTACCCGCTATGCTGCAGCCCCCAGTTTCCACACCTGGCCCCCCAGGGACTCACCCAAGAACCGGAGCTGTGCACAGCGTCTATTCCTTGGCGGACGATGGTCTCAGCCTGTCTGCCGGCCTCCCCCCCAGAGTTTCCAAGGTCATGGACGGCTTCCCCCAGCCTGTAGTTGACAGTGTCCCCTGCCTCCCTGGTTCCAGAGCCGGCTGCCTCTCCACCCCCTTGGCCAAGGACCTCCCTGGTTCCAGAGCCGGCTGCCTCTCCAGCCCCTCGGCCCACGGCCTCCCCAATTCCATGGCTGACGGCATCCCCCAGCCGCTGTCCGATGGCCTCAGCAGCACTTGCTCCGGTGTTCTCCCCTCCATTCAGCAGTGGGCCAGCCTCGCCGCTGCCCAGGCACAGGGCCAGCAAGAGGCAGGCCAGGGACCCCTGCAACTTCATGTCTGCCTAGCTCCCTCCGCTCTCCCGAGTGTCCGCTCCCCACTCCAGCGTCTGTCTTGCTGCCCTTTCCCTTCCTGTGCGTGCCCGCCTCGGTTCTCGTCTTCCTTCCGACTACTTGTCCTTCCCTGCCTCTAGGTCTGCAGCCTTCTCTCTCCTTTCCCAGAGTCCCCGGCCTTCCCAGAGCCCTCCTCCTGGCCACTACTCCTTATACTGTGCTTGGGAGACGGTGGCAGGGCTGGGCAGCCCGGGGTCCCTCCCCTGGTGACTCAGGCCAGCCACCGATAGGATAATGAACTGTAATTGTGAGCCTTCCACTCTGTGTCGAAACAGAGAGGGAGCCCATGCACCAGGGAGGGAGGGAGACTGGGATGTGCAACCCCAGGAATTTGGGGCGCAGGGTGGGGATGGGGCATCTGAGGAGACAAGTTGTTGGTGTCTTCTAGAGGAGGGGGGGCGCTCAGGAGACAGGAGTCACGGGAACCCCCAGGGGTGAGTCGATAGGGCTGCCCAGGGTCCCAGGAGCCCGCTGGGCATGGGGCAGCCGCCCCGTCTCAGCCTTTCCTAGTTTCAGTCAGCCTTCAGCTCTCTCCCCTCCCATACTGCCACCTACAGGTGACCGCCCTCCTGCTCTTCAGCACCTGCCAGTCCGCGGAGAGGGAGCCGGGGCTCTGAGCTTCTGGGGCAAGCCCTCATGAGGACCCCCAGGCGCCAGGCAAGGAAGCGGCCCCCACCCCGAGACTGGCACAGGTAGCAGCATCCGGGCTGCTCTGATGGGAAGGGTGGGTGGGGGCGGGGAGCTGGGCGAGCCAGCCGCCCCCGGGGAAACAAGTGGGAGGCAAAGGCCAAGGGAGGGAGCAGCTGACCCAGGCTTCCATCCTGTTTACCAGGCCCTGGAGGGGGACTGTGCCCTGCGTGAGCTCATGGCCCCTGAGGGGTGGGACTGCAGCCGCTCCCCACCCCTCAGCCTCTCCCAGGGCCAGGGCAGCCCCGGCAAGAGAGGCAGGATGGACACGAGGCCGAGAGTCATCCGTGGCCGCCGTGGCCCTCTCCCCAAGTGCCTGCACAGGACACAGGCCTCTCCCTGCTCTGCAAGTGTGGCTGTTTCTGATGGCTGGGGCCCGGCCCCGCCCACTTGGCACGGTCCTGTATCACTGGGATTCATCGCCCAGCTGGGAGGGGCAGTTTCCGTCTGTCTTTCTCAACGTCTCGGTCAGTCTCTGCCTTGCTCTCCACCCTGACACCCGCACCCCAGCTTGTAACATCCAAGCCTTCCTACCTGTAAACACCAGCCCCGCCGTGCTCCTCGGCCCTGTTTCTCCATTGCTGACTCCTTAATGAGCGTCATGGCAGAAAATGGGAATAGCAATAATGGTAGCTCCCGTGGATCCGAGGCTGTGTGCCCAGTACCGGACTCAACACTGCAGGGACTGGCTAGGCCTGTGGCTACCCCGTTTAGAGACAGAGACATGGGGGCTCGAGAGGTCGGCGTGAGCACGCAGAGGAGCCCAGAGCCAAGGCCTGGCCTGCAACCCTCTGCGGCCCTGGCCCCCACGCCTTTCAGCCTCCTGGTTGTCAGACGCCCCTGCTGGTTCTCTGGGTAGATCTGAGTTTGGTTTTTCTCTGGGACTGTGTGTGAAGAGAGGGGCTGCAGGAGTGAGTCTGGGGCTCCCCGGATTGGTGATAGAGACCCCAGCCCGAGCTTGCTTCCGTAGGGCAGGGTCATGGGCAGGAGGAGGGGCCCTGGCGGAGCACTCCCCGACTCAGGGCTCCTTCCCCAGCTCGACTTCACCTCCAGTGTCCCTTCTCTGTCGCTAATATTTCTCTTCAGACCAGCTCGCTTACTTCCTGTATCACGCGTGTAAGTGGAAAGCCAGGATCACTTGCCCACAGATAGAAAGTACCAGAAAAACATGGTGAGACGCAACAGTGGCATTCCATCATAGCTGGCTGCAGCTCTCCTAGCCTGTCTGTTGAAAAGGAAGAGGGCTGGTGTCTGGCACAGGGCCCGCACGCCACGTGAAGTGCTGGGCTTGAGTCTCAGCTCTGCCCCCAATTCCTCATTAACGTCCTGCCGGCCTCTCATACACATTATCCAAGGCCGTGTTCCATTTCCCTGGCTGCCAGCAGTCCCACATTCTGCCCCCGGGGCTGTATTCCTCAGACGCCTCCTGTGAGCGGGATAGAATGTTAGATGCTCTTACACCACCTCATTTAATTCTCGCTGTACCCTTGGGAGGTCCGTACTATCCCCACTTCCCAGATGGGGTGACCCTGGTGGGTCTGACACCAAACAACTCTTTCTCTAACATCACCTGCCTCCCTTGCTCCCGAAGCTAGTCTTGCCCGCACCTCAGGCATGCCCACATCACATCCAAAGCCCTCTGGTTTCAGCTTTTCTCCCTAAGCACTACTTCGCTCCCCACTCAGCGTTCCACTGTGCTGTGTCTGTTCTCGGCACTGGGACAGAGTGTGGAATAGGGCCACACCATCTCCTGGGGCGCCCACACTGGGAGAGTCGAGCACGTGGGAAGGAAAACACAAGGGGGAGAGAAGGCACAGGAAGTGTTTCATGTACGGTGGTCAGAGTGAGGCCAGGACTTCCCTGTAGTCAGTTGGAGCAGATCTGTCTGCCCAGAGGCACATTGGGAATCCTGAGTTTTGGGCCAAAAAGACCCCGAGAACCAAGGAGTCTGCCTGTGCCATCAAGACTGGACACTAGCACTTAAGAGTTAATCACAAGACATCAAGCAGCGGGGGCACTGTGGCACTGTGGCATAGTGGGTGACACCAGCAGCCCATATGAACCTACATTCTACCCAGCTGCTCCACTTCCCACCCAGCTCCCTGCTAGTGTGCCTGGGGAAGCAGCAGAGGATGGCGCAAGTCCCTGGGCCTCTGCCACTCACGTGGAAAACCCAGGTGAAACGCAGGGTGTTGCAGGTATTGGGAGTGAGCCAGCGGATGGAAGAGCTTTCCATCTCTGTTTTTCTCTACAACTCTGCCTTTCAAATGCATAATTAAAAAAAAAAAAAAAAAAGATCAAGAATTGTGTGGCATCTCCTGTCTTCACCCGGTCACCTTCTGCTTAGTTCTTCAGAAACAGTGAGCTCCCTGCAGGTGCCTGAGTGGGTCTTCGCAGGTTGCAGCGCTGCCAGGCTGTGGTGGGAGTGGACTCCGCCCCTGGGGAAGGCCCTGGGTCCTGGGGTTCAGGCCTGCGGCACTGCAGGCTGCTCAGGGCACTCTCCAAACCACAGGGCTCTCCCTCACCGGACCCGCATCCTCTTCCTCCCTGCGTTAGCCCGGCACGTCCATCTCGGCCCAACTGGCTGCAGACGCCTTTAGCTTTCCCCACACAGTGGTGTGCAGCCTTACTCCCTGCTGTGTGAAACCCGCTTCCTTTGTTAACGTCTACACAATCTACTCCCGGCTGTGTGAAATCCACTTCCTTTCCTTAGCATCTACACAATCTAGTCATTTCCCTTTTTCTCCCTGCGTCTCTACTTTCCGTCAACGTCTGCTGACAGCCTTGATCTTAAGGACTCCCACTGATTACAGACCAAGGACTCTCCATTTTTGATGGTACTGAATTCCATTTTTTAAGTCAAAGGGAGAAATGTGTGTTGAAGGCAGAAAGCCCGAAGCACAGCGAGGACTTACCCCGGTTACTGAAGGGGCTCTGCACTTTCTGCTCCATCTGAGCCCAAGACCACACTGGCTGGAGGGGCAGGGGCAGTGGCATCATGGCACAGCAGGTTAAGCTGCCGCTTGTGACACTTGCATCCCATAGGAGAGTGCTGGTTCGAGTCCCAGCTGCTCCACTTCCTCAGCTGGAACCACCTCCATTTGGGAAGTGAACCAGGGAATGGAAGAGCTCTCTGTCTCTTCCTCTCTCTGCCTTTCAAATAAATAAAATAAAATTTGGGGCAATCTTTATTTTTAAATTTTTTTCCTTTTTTTAATTTATTTTTCCCAGAAGCCTTTTATTTAAGGAATGCAAACTTCATGCATTTCATAAATACAACTTTAGAAAATAAATCTTTAAAAAAACTTCATCCTGGAAGAGGGAAAATTTTTAGGAAAAAGTTGCAGAGCCGTCTCTTAACAACTGGAGTTTGCGCCTTATAAATCTTACCCACTTTAGATGACTGCTGCTTTTCTCACTGGCTCAGTGAGAGTAATTACTAAAGTACGGGGAGCCGATGGGAAAATCTTGATGACCCAGCCACTCTGATTGGTCGGTCTTTGCGCAGCAGGATTGATACAGTAGAGTTCTTTCTCTTGATCCTGATTATAATTCTTTTTTTTTTTTTTTTTTTGACAGGCAGAGTGGACAGTGAGAGAGAGAGACAGAGAGAGAGAGGTCTTCCTTTTGCCGTTGGTTCACCCTCCAATGGCCGCCGCTGCAGCCGGCGCACCGCGCTGATCCGATGGCAGGAGCCAGGATCCAGGTGCTTTTCCTGGTCTCCCATGGGGTGCAGGGCCCAAGCACCTGGGCCATCCTCCACTGCACTCCCTGGCCATAGCAGAGAGCTGGCCTGGAAGAGGGGCAACCGGGACAGAATCCGGCGCCCCGACCGGGACTAGAACCCGGTGTGCCGGCGCCGCAAGGTGGAGGATTAGCCTATTGAGCCACGGCGCCGGCCAATCCTGATTATAATTCTTTATTATGTCTCTTTTATTGCAACTTAAGTAGTCAGCAACGCAGAAGCTAAATACTGTCTTAGACATTAGGCTGCCTGATTCCTGAACCAGTATAGGTCATAGAGCTCGCACATGACAGTACACAGTGTACACTACAGTATGTAGCTCTTACTGCGTGTAGTACCTAACACATGCTGTGTGTAGAAATCAAGCAGGTATGCAAAAGTTCAGACCAAATTGGCTCCTTGCAAGGATTTTTAAGATAGACTTTCATGGTATGATTTATTCAGCGAATTCCGTGAGTGTTCCCTGTGCTGAGCAATGGAAGGGATAGAGAGTGTGTGTGCCTGTGTGTGTGGCCTTGGGCTCACCATCTACCTAGGGAGATAAGACAGCAACGAGACATTCCTGGCAGAGCTGGGCATGGGTACATTTGGGTTGCTTTCCTGGCAGTTGTTTCATTCACACACATGCACACACACACATACGCACACACGCATGCACACATGTGCACACACACACACATCCTAACACTTCTTAAGAGGACCTGTTAGCGAGGGACACCTGCCACCTCCCCAGCCGAATTGGAGCCATGCCCATGGCCACTTGCTACTGGGTGGCCTGGAGCAGTTCGCTCCTTCGAGGAGCTTCATCCCCCCTCCCCTGTGCTGGGGATGTCCCGTGCCCCCCCGGGTGGGGGGCTGAGAGGCTGGAATGAATCATGTCTGTGAGCGCCCAGCCCAGACCCAGTCAAAGACGGCTGTGAGCATCCCTCCCAAACTCCTCTCCCTGGTCCCCACCGCTGGCCCTTCCCCCGCACTGTGCCCGTCCCCGCCCTGCCTGAGCCCACACCGCTGCAGAGGCCCTGCCTTCGTGGGTCCACTGCACGCCAGGGGCCTCCCCACTGCTGCTTCATGCCTGGTCTCCACCTCGCGCAGAGATCCTCACAGTCCCAGGGGGGAAAGTGGGTACTAAGCATGTATTATTTATAATGCAGTTCCGAATTGTCACAAGCAGTGTGAAGGAGGGCAAGGGTGGGGGGTGGTCAGGTGGGTGACGTCTGGGGACGGGGCAGACAGGACACAGTCCTAGCGGAGTGTCAGCAGAGGCGGCCTCCCGCCAGCACAGGGCTGTGCCTCGTGCACCCTCCAAAGCCAGCTGGAAGCGCTGCTTTCCCAGAAGCATCCAGGAGGGACCCTCAGTGCACAGAGCGCGGACCCCGTACCCCTCTGGTATTTCCAGGATCCTTATGTGCATACAGTGAAGTCTGTGAAAGAATGATGTCCTTCACTGTTGCCTTTGCAAAACAAGGGCTGCTTCAGCACAGACTAGGCCCTGCCCAGACGAATGGGCAGCAAACAGGTGCCTCCGGCTTACTCTGAAATGCACCAAAGATGTCCCACTACGTGGCTGGACGCGTGCGTATGTGAGCCTAGGAATTCAGTCGGCTGTGCCTGGCGGGGTCTCCGTGGTGGGCGCACATCACTCGCTCTCGGGTTCTTTCGGGAAAAGGCAGGGAACGCGAGGCGTCGGCGTCAGCGTCAGCATCGGCGTCGGGCGCGTGTGGCCTCTCCTCTCCCTGCTGCTGTCACAAGTTCTCCTCATGCCCTGCCCCGGACTTGGTGTTCCTGTCCATTTAGGGCCTAGTCCCTGGAAGATTAAACTCCCCAGGGCAGGAGCTGCCTTAATTTTGGCCCTGATGCCTGGTTCTAGTCCTGGTTGCTCCTCCAGCTCTCTGCTGTGGCCCGGGAAGGCAGTGGAGGATGGCCCAAGTGCTTGGGCCCTGCACCTGCATGGGAGACCAGGAGGAAGCACCTGGCTCCTGGCTTCGGATCAGTGCAGCACCGGCCGTTGCGGCCATTCGAGGGGTGAAGCAATGGAAGGAAGATCTTTCTGTCTTTCTCATTGTCTAACTCTATCTGTCAAATTAAAAAAAAAAAAAATTTGGCCCTGAGATGGATGCCATTTGGGAGCTGGAAGCAGTGACTGCAGGGGGCGCTTGGCGGCCCCTGGGCGGGAAGTGAGGCCCCCTGGGGCACCTGTCCTGATGGGAGAGCCCCAGGAGGGCTGTGGAGGCACCGCCAGCTGTGAGAGGTCCCCCAGTAGAGAGAGGTGCAGACCTGCTGCATTCTCCTTGGGCTGGCCCCGCGGAGCCTCAGCCTCCTCAGCCCTACCTTGAGGGTGCTGAGGGGCTGCGGGAGGCCTAAGTGCAGGTGTGATGGGCGCCACCACTAGTGCTCTGCGGCGGGCGCACTGGGCCTGCGCTCTCCGTGCTCCTCCCTCCTCTGCAGTGTCTTCCTCCGCGGCCTCCTCCCCCCCCCACCCCCAGGAGGTCTCCCCCAGTGGGCATCTCCCTCCTCTCTCCCTGTTCACCGATTCCCCTCCTGCCCATGCCAGACAGGAAAATCCATTTGTAACCTTGGCCGCGGTCCCTACCCTGGGCAAGCCTCCACGTGCTCCCGCTCCCGGGTGAAGTGGGAGCGATAACAGTGCCCCTGCCCTAATGGACGGCTGGGTGGATGCCATGATGTCACGCCTGGGAAGCCCCGAGCAGGGAGCCCGGCAGGTCTGCATTGCACAATCAACACAAGTGGCTATTGTTATTCTTCTGTGCCACACCCTGGGAGAGGATGACACCTCAGCGGGCTCCACCCCGGCTCCTGCCACTCCCTCCCGCTGCTTTGTCCCCACCGGCAGCCTGCAGGGTGCTCTTCTGAGGGCCAGGCGCCAGCTTTGCAGGCAGACAGGGTCTGGCTTGTCCCAGTCAGCTGCCCTCCGAGAGCTGATGGACCCGAAACCTCCCACGCAGCCCAGCCGGCGCATCAGACCCCCAGCTCCCTCCACAGAGCGGAGACAGCCGGCGGGCGAGCACAGTGGACCAGGACCAGGAGTACAGGGCACCATATTTATTCACAAATCTCACAGTGGCCCCTTTAAGGGGCTCCAGAAATCCCCCCACGCCACCCCCCACAACCCTCAGCTCCTTCAGGTCATTCCAGCGTCTGCTCAGCAAGGTCAGGGCATCAGTTCAGGGCATGATGTTGGCGACGCTCTGGAAGAGAGGAGGAGTGAATGTGGGGTGCACAGTCGCGAGGGGGTGGGGACCCGCACCCCGTCCCTTGCTTGAGAAGTGAGGAGACTGGCTCTTCTGGGGAGCATCTTAAGGAAGGTGGCATTGGGTTTAGGAAGAACGGGGAGCCAGCTCTCCCAGGCGGAGCTCGGGGTCTCTGCAGCAACCAGGAAGCCTCATCTGTTTGGCTTCAGAAGACCCCTCTGCCACCCCCATACCTCCCGGCCCCAGGTGCCAACTACAGGGCTGTTGAGTGAAGGGCCAGGACTCGGCTTTGACTTTGGGATCCACAGGAGGGATAGACAGAGCCACAGGTGCCCCGTCCCCAGCACACTGACATGAGGCGACAGGGCCAGAGATAGACACAGTAGGGTGGTTGGGAGGAGGTCAGAGATGACAAGGACAGAAGCTGGGCACGTTGGGGGCACGGTTTTGGCAGCTGCTCCCCTGTGGCTCCCAGGCGCACAGGGGCCCTGGAGGTCATGTCTGCCAGCTGTGTTGGCCTCCGTGGGCCTGGGAGGCACCCTGATATGGACAGCAAGGCATGGAGGGCAAAGAGCAGGTGGCGAGGGAGAAGAGCAGAGCTGGGCAAACAGGTTGGAGGGTGTGTGCCGCTGTGGGTCTGCCGGCAGGGAAGCTGCCTGGAAACAGGCCGGGGCGGGGGCGGGGCTGCCACTCACCCTCCACAGAGCGGGAAAGTTGATGAAGGGCTTGTTGACCGAGGCCTGGAATTTCAAGGACAAGGAGGTCAGTCCCCAGCATGCGTCCCACCGCCATCCTCAGGGACCCCCAAGTGGCCTTCAGCCCCACCCCCCTGACTTACTCCAGATGCTACTGAAGTGGTTGCGGCCCCTCCGTGCTGGCCGGTAGACCCGCCTTGACCACCCTGTGGACAGAAGCCCAGAGAGTCATCGCCACCGCTCAGCCCTTGTGCCCCAGCAGCCTGTTCCCCTCGGGGGCCACCGGACCTGGCGTGGGAGGCACGGGCTTAGCCCCCTGCCCCCTCACGGTCCAGAAAGAAAACCCCTGGCCGTGGCACCAGGGCAGTCCTGTGGGAGACAGGGAGAGACGCCAGGAAGGATGCCTGCCTTCCGTGGTAGTGAGGGGAGTGCACGAGAAGGAGCCTGCCTGGACAGCGAACCCAGGAGCCGCACGAATGCTGGGACCGAGGTCCAGCTTCCGCCCTGACCTCACAGTCTAGCCCTAGCCCTGACCAAGCTGACCTCTGTCCTGGGCACTGCCAGCCCTTGGGCTGCAATCCCCAAACCTGCCCCCTCTCCCCGCCTCTGCCCAGTGACTCCTGCCCTGGGCGCCATGGCCCTCTCCAGTAGGGGGCGCTCTCCCCACAGCCCCTTCCTCCCTTCCCACCCCTCGTTGGCTCCCTGCCTTGCTGCAGATGTGGCTCTGGGCTTGGAGGCCTGGGCCAGCCCTCAAGATCTTGCTGACCCCAATGCCTGCCACGTAGATACTGGGGATTGGACGTAAGAGAGTCAGCCTTCCATTACCCAGGCCCCTCCTCGGTGCCTGTTCTGCTGTGAGTGGCACAGCTTGCCCGGCCTCTGATGTCCGTTCCTGCAGGAGGCCTCCCCGATCGGGCAGTGTAGAAGAAGAGAAAGAACCCTGACCTGCAGCTTGCCAGCGCTGAGCACTGCCCACATGACCTTGACTAATCCCCTTAACCTCTCTGCGCCCCGCTGGCCTTATCTGAGAATCAGGGAGTCAGCATCCTCACTCTGACTCGGGGTTGCCCCACACCCCTCCTGTTTGCACTGCTGCAGATCTGAGGTCATTCACTACTTCCTGCTTCCCAGGAGGCTTTGAGCTCCTCGCCTTAGACCCCCTTAACCAGGACAGCCCCTCAGGGTGAGGCTGGGTCCCCGCCACAGTCTGACACAGGGCTTGGCAAATACAATGGCTTCTCCACCTGGCCAGCTCCTTTGGAGAAGGGAGACCCGGCAGGAGAACTGCCCAACCTCTTCCACCAAACAAAGGCTCCCTGGGCTCCCCAATGTCCCAAGGGTTTCACCTCTCCCTCCCCGGCCCCTTCGTCCCGGTTCCCCGCCCCTGTTCACCTACATTCAGCAGCTGGTTGGCCTCCTTGCCGGCTTGGTTGACCCCATTATGAACATCCTGCTGCCACCTGTCCATTTCCTTCCCGGCCTGGCCAGCAGCATGGTGGACACCTTGGCCAAGTTTCTCCGCCTCCTTCCCGGCCTGGCCAGCAGCATGGTGGACCCCTTGGCCAAGTTTCTCTGCCTCCTTCCCGGCCTGGTTGACCCCATCGTGGACCCCGTGGACCACTTTGTCTGCTTCCTTTCCGGCCTGTTCAACGGCATGGTGAACTCCCTGGCCAAACTGCTCCACCTCCTTCCCAGCCTGCTGAACTCCATGATGCACCCCTTGGGCCACTTTATCTGCCTCCCTCCCAGCCTGCCCTCCAGCATCGTACACCCCCTGGCCGTACCGCTCTGCCTCCTTCCAGGCCTCATTAACCCCATGGTGAACCCCCTGGCCAAGCTGCTCCACCCCCCTCCCAGCCTGGTTGACCCCAGAGTGGACACCTTGAACAGCTTTGTCGACCTCTCTCCCAGGCTGCCCTGCAGAGTAATGAACATCACGGCCAAACTGCTCTGCCTCTGTCCCTGCCTGGCTAACTCCGTGATAGACCCCTTGGACCACTCCATCTCCATGCTTCCCAGCCTGCCCAAAGGCGTGGTGAGCCCCCTGGCCTAACTTCTCTGCCTCCTTCCCAGCCTGCCCCAAAAGATGATGGCCTCCCTGGCCTAACTTCTCTGCCTCCTTTCCAGGCTGCCCCAAAAGATGATGGCCTCCCTGGCCTAGCTTCTCTGCCTCCTTCCCAGCCTGCCCAAAGGCGTGGTGAGCCCCCTGGCCTAACTTCTCTGCCTCCTTCCCAGGCTGTCCCAAAAGATGATGGCCTCCCTGGCCTAACTTCTCTGCCTCCTTCCCAGGCTGCCCCAAAAGATGATGGCCTCCCTGGCCTAACTTCTCTGCCTCCTTCCCAGCCTGCCCAAAGGTGTGGTGAGCCCCCTGGCCTAACTTCTCTGCCTCCTTCCCAGCCTGCCCCAAAAGATGATGGCCTCCCTGGCCTAACTTCTCTGCCTCCTTCCCAGCCTGTCCCAAAAGATGATGGCCTCCCTGACCTAACTTCTCTGCCTCCTTCCCAGCCTGTCCCAAAAGATGATGGCCTCCCTGGCCTAACTTCTCTGCCTCCTTCCCAGGCTGCCCAAAGGCGTGGTGAGCCCCCTGGCCTAACTTCTCTGCCTCCTTCCCAGCCTGCCCCAAAAGATGATGGCCTCCCTGGCCTAACTTCTCTGCCTCCTTCCCAGGCTGCCCAAAGGCGTGGTGAGCCCCCTGGCCTAACTTCTCTGCCTCCTTCCCAGCCTGCCCCAAAAGATGATGGCCTCCCTGGCCTAACTTCTCTGCCTCCTTCCCAGGCTGCCCAAAGGCGTGGTGAGCCCCCTGGCCTAACTTCTCTGCCTCCTTCCCAGCCTGCCCAAAGGTGTGGTGAGCCCCCTGGCCTAGCTTCTCTGCCTCCTTCCCAGCCTGCCCCAAAAGATGATGGCCTCCCTGGCCTAACTTCTCTGCCTCCTTCCCAGGCTGCCCCAAAAGATGATGGCCTCCCTGGCCTAACCTCCCAGCCTCATCCCCAGCCTGCCCAAAGGCATGATGGCCTCCCTGACCTAACTTCTCTGCCTCCTTCCCAGCCTGCCCAAAGGCGTGGTGAGCCCCCTGGCCAAACCTCCCAGCTTCGTCCCCAGCCTGCCCCACAGCATGGTGGGCCCCCTGGCCAAACCTCCCTGCTTCACTTCCCGCCTGGTTGACCCCATGATGGATCACTTTGTCTGCCTCCTTCCCAACCTGTCCAGCAGCGTTGTTGGCCTCCTTCCCTGCTTGTCCGATGCCATTGTTGATCCCATGGGCTACCTTGTCCAAGCCGCTGTTGAGGCCCTTGTCCACCTCCTTGACGGCCTGGCTCCCCATGCTGCTAAGTCCATTGAAAACTTTCTCCACTTCCCTTCCAGCTTGCGTGATTCCATTGTTGATGCCTTCCAGGGCCTTGCCCACCTCTCTCTCTGCATTGCTCAGCCCTCGGTTGATCCCTTCAATGACCTTCTCGATGGGGTCGTCGCTGGCCGCCCATCCGGGCAAGGCCCCCAGGAGCAGTAGGAGGGAGCAGGAGCCAAGCACAGGGGCGAGACGCATTTTGCTGGGACAGTGGGGAGGATTCGGAGAGCGGCCAGGGAGGGCAGGCGGCTATGTATGCTCTCCTGCCCTCGGCTCCACCCCTCGTGACTCAAGTCACTCCTGGGAGGCAGGCTCGGTCCTGGTCCCGGGCAAGGAGGTGTTTCCCAGGGAGATTTGGGATTGAGCAAGGAAGAGGTGCAGGGTGAGTCAGGACTGGAGAGGAGCCCTGCTCGCTCGCTCCACCCCAGCAGACAGGTCTGCCCTCCCAGCCACCTCCTGTCATTCCTGCCGCCCTCCAGGCCCCCTTCAGTCACCCTCTCAAGCTGGGACCAGGGGACCCTTCAGCTCCGCATCCAGCCTGCCTGGGAGTGAGGGTCCAGGCAGGGGGGAGGGGCAGAGCTCCTGTGGACCACCCGCCACAGGCCACGCCCCTGCTCCCCAGATCCAGCACGCTCCTTGCCTTGCTCTTGTCTTGCTGGTCCCCCCTCATTCCTCACCCCACTCAAATGCCACCTTCTCCAAAACTCCTCCCCCATCCATCCGTGACCGTAGCAAGCTGTGCCCGTGACCGTAGCATGCTGTGGTTGCACTCTGGAACATTGCCCTTTGGTTTCTGCAGCAGTCACCTGATCTGAAATTACCTTCAGCTTTCATTGTCCCATATACCAGATTGTAACGCTCCCCGGGGACAGGGCCTCGGTCTGTGTTGGTCACCGCTGTATCCCCAGCTTCTCAAGCATTGCCCACAGTTCTGCAAATATTTATAGCTGGAACCATGGGTGCACTGGAGGAAGCGATGGGTAGAGCTTCCACGCCTGAGCCCGAGTCCCATGGAGGCTGGAGGGAAGGGTGCCTGGGTTCCCAGAGCAGCAAGGACCCAGCGGGGAGGGTTGCAGGTTTTGGAGTCAGCATCACATTCTCATCGTGGCACGCAAACCTCGTGCCTCCCAGCCCTTGGGCAGGGGCAAGGGGCTGATTGCCAGGAGCTGGGACGGGACGCAGTGTCTCCTGAAAAGCCGGTTGAGGCAGCCACAGGGAGGGGCTGAAGACCCGGGGCAGCAGGAAGCTGTCAGCCAGCACATGGGCCGGGGGCCAGGAGCCCAGGAGCCCAGCCTCCCTGCCCTCCTCCCCCTGGTGCCTCACAGACTCTGGAGGCCCCACGTGGCTGGAGCAGCAGAAGGAAGGGCAGGTGGCAGGTGGTTGGTACGCGGGCAGCGGGCAGCGTGTCTCCCTGGGAGCTAGTTCAGAGGGAGCCCATGGGTGGGTTTGGCCGGGTGCAGGGGTGAGAGGTGTTTGGGTTTTGATACCAAGGGTGAGACTGAGAGGGGGTGGAGGTGGGATGGCTGGTGGGAAGTCCAGGCAGGAAGGAATGTGCAGGGTGTGAGCACCCGGGGGTGGCAGAGTTATGTGTGTGGGTGCCCAGGTGTGGTGAGAACCTGCACGTGTTTTCAGATTTGCTCAAACCAGGGTGCCAACGTCCGCTCCCCTTAGAGGACCCAGGGCTCCACCCCAGATTCTGGACACTTGGCTCCACCCAGAGCCAGGCCTCCCAGGCCAGAGACCAAGCGCTTCTGCCTTCTCTAGGCTCTGCCGACGGAGGGTGCCTGACTGTGGTATCTCTGCAAGCGCTAGCGCATGCGCTCTGTTCTTGGTCCCATGCTCCAGGGACAGAACCAAACCCCTGGGCAAGTTCAGCTGTGGCTTTCCTGCCCGTCCGGTGTCTGAATGTTGGAGGTGCCCATGACAGGAGACGGCTGGGTGGGGAGAGGTGGCTGATGAGCCTTGGAACCCCAGCCCGCCTCGAGGTCACCACGGGGGCTTCTCCGTTGAAACTACTGTGTCTTTTCTTCTCTGCCCCATCCTCCCTTCCCCTGACAGCCTCACCACTCCCCTCAGTCCCTCCATACCCATTCGTGACTGGTTCAGGCCTGGGGTTCGGTCTCCATGGGTGCACTTGGCCCAGAGTTGGCCTGTCTGGTGCCAGCCCCTGCCAGTTGGGGAACAGCATTGTGCTGGCGTCCTAAGGAGTTGAGGAAGTTTTGTGAGTGGGGCCATCATGCCCAGAATCCCTCCAAAGAAGGATGTGGTACCAATATCACACTTGCTCCCTGGTGGATCCAGCCATAAAACCACCCGGATTCACATCCATCTTTGAGAGGCCAGATCTCACCTGTTTCTCCTCTTGTATTGACCCAGTCAGATCTGCTGTTTCTTCTTGCGATACTTTTGATCCTTTATATATTCAAAGAAAAATGTTAATAGCATCTAACTTTTCTCTTTTTTAAAAGATTTATTTATTTATTTGAAAGGCATAGTTATAGAGAGGCAGAGGGAGAAAGAGAGAGGTCTTCTATCCACTGGCCCACTCCCCAAATGGCAGCAATGGCTGGAGCTGCACTGATCCGAAGCCAGGAGCCAGGAGCTTCTTCCAGGTCTCCCACGTGGGTGCAGGGACCCAAGCACTTGGGCCATCCTCCACTGCCTTCCGGGCCACAGCAGAGAGCTGGATCGGAAGTGGAGCATCCAGGACTCGAACTGGCACCCACATAGGATGCTGGCACTGCAGGCAGTGACTTTACCCGCTACGCCACAACGCCAGCTCTGCATCTAACTTTTCAAATCTTTTATTATGAAGTGGCATAATATCAGTCAACCAGTCTTGATGATGTGTGTGTGCTGGTTTTTTCTCCTTGATTGTATGCGTGAAAAGTTTGTCTCCCTTTGTTTAATTCTTTATCTCCCTCTTCCTCTCCGGTCTCTCTGCCCCTCAAATAACAATGTAAAAAGTGGAGAGCATTTGGCCTAGCAGTTAAGACATCCACATCTCAGATCAGCGTCTGGGCTCATCCTGGCTTCACTCCTGATCCCAGCTTCCTGCTAATGTGCACTCGGGGAGACAGCAAGTGGCTGCAGTGGCTGGGCCCCTGCCACCCGTGTGGGAGGCCTGGGTTGAGGTCCCAGCTCCTGGCTTCAGCCATTGCAGGCCTTTGGGGAGTGAATGAACGGGAGCACTGTTCTCTCTCTCTCTCTCTCTCTCTCTCTCTCTCTCAAATCCTAGAGTAATAATGACGAGGTGCTTCCTGCGTTGTTGCGTCCAGCCTCGCTTTTGGTCTTGGTGACACCCATCTGAATACCCAGTTTATTTCCAGGCCCTCCAAGCAGGCGGGATTCTCCTTAGCCCCAACCCATGGCAGGTGCTTGACAAACTGGATGCCCCTGGAGGTTTCGGGAAGGAAGAGGTTATGTCACTCTGCGTCTTCTTGTTTCCGCCCCTTCCCCCAGGATGGTGACTCCTTCCTGGCACAAACCCCCGACACTGCCTAAGTCTTGGTCACAGCTGTGTGTCAGCCAGTTTGAGTCACTGACGTGCAGGCAAGCCCCCACCCCTGTGCCCTAGTGGGGAGAGCGCATCCCAAACATCTAGGGAAAGCCTGCGTGTGCCAGGCGCTGTTCTTGGTGCTGGAGGCACAGTGGGAACAGAGCAGACAAGAATACTTGCCCTGGGGTGCTCAGAGCCCAGTGGGGAAGACACGGAGCAGGTCGAGCAGTAACTAAATGGGAACAAACTACAAGAAAAGCTACAGGGAGGAGAACAGGTGCTTTAAGATAGGTTAGCAGAAGAGGTGGCATTTATGCATGCATTTGGGTATTGATTGAGCAAGCACCTTCTAAGTGCTGAACAGGCTTCTGCTCCATGGCATCCAGAAGTGCAAAGCTAGACAAGGCCCCTGCCCTCCCAGGGCCCATGTTCCACTGCGCAGAGGCAAATGGCAAGAAAACAGGAAAAAAAAGGGGGGGGGGTCTCTAGGGAGACGCGTGCTCCGAGGAAGATGAAGCGGAGTGCAGCCTAGTGCAGTTGCTCGCACTGGAACGTCCGACCTCGGGCTTCCTGGAAGATGGGGAGGGGCTGCGGGGGCGGGATGGTGCCGATCCTGGCTGAGAGAGGAGGGGACTTCGACGGTGAGTCCGCCCTCTGAAAGGCGGCATGGGAGGGGAGCCGAGGGGGCCACCGCGGCGCCCGTGTGCCCAGGGAGGCACGGGCGCAAGGGCTTCGAGGAGTGGTGTGAACAGGTGCATTCCCTCGCAGATGCCGGCTGTGGGGGGAGGGGAGGGGGCTTGGGACCGTGCGGCTCTGCCTGCGGACGTCACCCGCCTCCATAGGCACGTGGGGAGGCCCCTGCGGCTCAAGTCCACGCGCCGCCCCTCTGTGACGTCACAAGGCAAGATGCTGCCGAGCCTCTAGCCCCGGCGCCCCGCGCCTCAGTAACAACACGGCGGGTCCGGGGGCGGCTAGGCCATGACACCTTAGAAGGCCATGTCGAAGCGTGACATCGTCCTCACCAATGTCACCGTTGTCCAGCTGCTGCGACAGCCGTGCCCCGGTGAGGGAGGCGGCTCGGGGCGACCCCCGGGAGGGGAGGAGAGGGCGGTCGCGGCGTGTGTCCCGTGGCCTCCCAGGCCCCCTCCCCCCCGGGACGCGACCGCCCAGAAGCCTGCGTGCGAGCAGGAGGCGCAGGCCCGGGGCCGCCACTCACCTGCCTGCCTGGAGCCACTACTACGCTCCCGCCCTGCAGCCCCACGCTCCTTAGCCACCTGGGGTTTGCGCGCCAAACTGGTTTCTCTGCCGCTGGAGCTGGCGCGGGCGGGGGCGACAGGGACGCTGCGGCCCCGGGGCTGGGTGGGCTCCGCACCGCCGCTAGAACGCGGTGGGAAGGGCAGAAGCAGGACGGAGAGTGGCGGGCTGGGCGGGCCTCCGAGCAGAACCGAGGCGAGCGGGAGTTACAGGTAGAGTGGACGCTGGTGGCGGCCAGCGCCGAGAGGCCCGCTGCTGGTGCTGCACACTGCCAAGGACGCAAGGCTCTTGCCAGGCATGCGCTCACTGAAGCCTGCCGGGCACCGGAGGAGGCCAGTGTGTTCAACAGAGACGAAGAGGCTCTCAACAGAGCTGGACAAATCCCTCCCTGTCATAAGAGCAGACGTCAGGGTCACCAATAACCGCACAGGGTCACTGCCATCAGTAAACCCTAACACCTCTGTGACTGGTCCATCCACGGCCCAGACTCGGGCCCCAAGGTCTGTGGCAGCAGGAGAGGTCGTAGGGGGTGGGGGAAGCAGGCAGCTTCCAGCCTCACCACCTCCCAGATGCCCTTGAATCTGGTGCCGGGAGCAGCTCCCAGGGTTGCCCTGCAGCCCCATGCTCTTAGTCTCAGACTTCTCTCCTTCACTCACACCAGCTGCGCCCGCGCAGTGGCCGCTAGGTGGAGGGTCCCCTGTGACCCCCGGGAAATGGGGCCAGAGTCCATGAGCTAGCCCAGAACCACGCAGCGGCAGATGCCTGAGCCAGGGTTTTAGGAGTGTGTGGAGAGGCAGGAGCTACCCTGTCTCACACAGTGTGATGCACCCTGTTTCCGAAACGTCCCCTTGGGTAAGAAACCCCGCAGTGCTCCTTACAAACAGGATTTCTGCACTTGGGCACGGGCGCGCCGAGCCAGAGCCGCCCTGGCGGAGCTCCGGCGGCACAGCAGCCGACAAGTGCGGTTAGCAGACGGGTGCGGGAAGCGCGGTACGAAAGGCTGGTGTGTGCACGGCGTCTGGGCTCCTTCCTGGAGAAGGCCTCCTTGCTCTCTCAGCAGGAGCCTCGGAGCGGACCTGTCCCAGCTCCAGAAACCGAGGCACCCAGAGCATGGCTCCAAGCAATCGTGAAAAACACGTTCCCACTGGAGGAGTCTCCGGGGAGGTGCTGCTCTGGGCACTGGTGTTTAAAACAAGCCCACCCCTTGTCCATTGTGAGCTTGGAGTATCTGGGAAACACAGGGCTACAGTCCGCAACCGGAGCCAGGCAGGAGCCAGCAGCAGGTTCTGGGTGGCTCATTCTCTTCTTCTGCAGGGGTGGGGGGAGCAGCTCCCTGACCCCCTCCTCCCACCCTGCCCCCCGCAGTGAACCGAGCACCACCTCCACCTGAGCCCAAGGTTGAAGCAGAACCCCAGCCTGAACCTGTGCCAGAACCGGTTAAGGCGGAAGCTCCGCTGCCTCCTCCTCCCCCTCCTCCTCCCCCTCCCCCTAAGAAGACGGAGGCAGTGCGGGAGTTGACCGTTGGAATCAATGGGTGAGTCTGAGCGGGCCCCTGGGCTGTTCCTGAAGCCAGGGCCCAGCATGGCCACGTCTCTCACCATCAGTGCTTACCCGGAGAGCGCCCGCCCGCCCAGGAGAAACAGCAGGGAATAAGGCAGCCAGAGAAGTGGGTGCGGTGATGCTTGTCCCAGGCAGGAGATGGCAGCAGCAGCCAGTGTAGTCAGGAGAGGCCTGGGGAAGTGACAGGGGAGTGAGGCCCTGGCCACAAACGGCAGCCCGCACCAGGGCTCTGGGGAGGAGGAAGGCAGCAAGGGAGCTGCACACCAGCCCGGGGCCTGGGCACAGAGGCCAGGAGCTGGGATCTTGCTCTACTGGTAGAGAATCATGGCGACTGAAATGCCAAGACATTATCTGGTAAATTTCAAAACTGCATCCAGCCACCAGGCTAAGCAGCAGGAGGCGGAAGCAGGGAGAGCGGCTAAAGAGCCAGCCGGTCACCGGCACAGGAGCCGCTACGCCCAGGAAGAAGGGGCGGCCTCCCGCCCGGCCTCCGCTGGGCCTCCTCCCCTGTCTCAGCCCATTTTCTCTCTTTTTTTTTTTTTAAGATTTATTTATTTGTTTATTTATTTATTTATTTATTTGAAAGGCAGAGTTACAGAGAGGCAGAGACAGAAAGAGAGAGAGAGAGGTCTCCATCCACTGGTTCACTCCCCAAATGGCAGCAATGGCTGAAGCCAGGCCAATGCAAAGCCAGGAGCCAGGAGCTTCCTCTGGGTCTCCCACGCGGGTGCAGGGGCCCAAGCACTTGGGCCATCTTCTGCTGCTTTCCCAGGCCATAGCAGAGAGCTGGATCAGAAGTGGAGCAGCCGGGACTTGAACCGGTGCCCATGTGGGATGCCGGCACTGCAGGCGGCAGCTTTACCCGCTGCGCCAAAGTGCCAGCCCCTGAGCCCATTTTCTGTCTCTGTAACTCAACACCACAGCTTGGGTGATTGAGGGAGAGAAGCATCTTAGGTTCTGGAGGCTGGGAAGTCCCAGGTGGAAGCCGCACCTGGTGAGAACCCTCTTGCTGGTGGGGACCTTGCCCACCCACGGTGGTGCACAGAGCACGCTTGCCCCCTCTTAGGAAGCTGCTGATGCTCTCGAGAGCCCCCCTCAACCGGCTTCCTGCAATACTAATTGCTTCCCCAAATCCTAACCCCCCAACCCTGGTTGGACTGTTCCCACCCTCATAACACTTCACCGTGGGGATTAAATTTCGGTGGAAACATGGAAACCATGACATCACCGTCGTCTCCTCTCCCGTGCCCTCCTCTGCCGGTCCCGGGACAGATTCGGACGCATCGGCCGCCTGGTGCTGCGCGCATGCATGGAAAAGGGCGTCAAGGTGGTCGCGGTGAATGATCCGTTCATTGACCCAGAATACATGGTGAGGGCAGGAGCGGGACAGACGGACGGGGCGGGCTGGAGTGCAGCCCAGGGGAGCTGGGTGGGGGGCTCCCAGCTGCAGTGAGGTGGGGAGCACTGTCCGGGGCTGCTCGCTTTGCGCCACCCCCACCAAGGCTAGGACCCGTTCCATCTCCTGCAGGTGTACATGTTCAAGTATGACTCCACCCACGGCCGGTACACGGGGAGCGTGGAGTACAAGAACGGACGGCTGGTCGTGGACAACCATGAGATCAGCGTCTACCAGTGGTAAGGACGGCACCTGTCTGGTGCCCGCGTGTGAGCCGTCGGCGCCCTGTCCTCTTGGGAGGGGGGAACTCAAAGCCCTACAGTGTGCATGTGCCTCTAGGCTTGCTGGGAGCAGGTTGTCAGAGGCTCCGGCCCCTAAAATGGTTAAGAAGCACTAACCTGGAAGAAAGTCTCACTGTCTTCAAGAGTACTTTTAAAAAAAAAATCATTTATTTATTTGAAAGGCTGAGTTACAGAGATGTCTTCCATCCGCCGGTTCACTCCCAAAAGGTCACAACAGCCAGGGCTGGGCCAGGCCCAAGTCAGGAGCCTGGAGCTCCACCTGGGTCTCCCACGTGGGTGGCGGGGGCCCAAGTGCCAGGACGTGAACTGTGATGCTGGGCCACCTCAGGAGTACTGTGTGACGCACTCGCGTGCTTCCTCCCAGGCAAATCAACTCAACACGTCCACAGCTCCCCTCGCCAGCTCCTCTCGGGCCCCCAGGCGCCCTGCACCCCACCCTGCAACCTCCAGCCAGTGCCGCCGCCACACCAGGCAATACTGATTCTTCCTTTAAAGACAGTCAGAACCTGCAAGTCAAAAGCAATCACATTACATGTTTCAAATGCTTCAAAGATTCTCAAAATATTTTAAAAGTTACAGTTTGTGAAACAGGAAACATTGAGCCCCCCTCTACCGTTCTCACATAAGCCACCGCCCATCCTGTGGCTGCACACACACGCAGGCACCCTCTCAGCCCTGCAGAGGGCGCCCTCCTTTCACTCGCCGGAGGCAGGCTGTGGTAGTGGGGCAGAGCGATGGGGAGAAGTGACAGTAGAAGCAGCTGCCTGCCCCGAGTTGAAGTCATGATGCCAGAACCAATGGCAGTAAGTCATTGGTCAGCTGCCCTGTGTCGCTCCTGCCACTTGGGGTTGGGGCTGTCTCCCTACCACCCAGCCCCCCCCTCACCGACGGCCTCCTCAGGTCCCCGCTAAGTGGCCCCCCCTCACTGTGGGTGTTCTCCGGGCTCCTAGCACAAGCTGAGTCGTGTCTTTCACCCCTTCCTAGTTGGGTGGCCCTGGGCAAGGGACCAGACCTGGCCGAGCTCATCCTGTGTCTGGTGGCATGATGATCACATGACTGGAGTTCCCCGTGCTGTGGAGCACCGCGAAGGGCGTCCCCACAAGGCCATGGCCCCCTGGGAGCAAGCTCACCCTTGTTTGGCACTGGCAGCTACAGGCCCTGACTCTCGGTCGACCCTCAGTGCTTCCTTGAAGGATGGAGGGAGGGAAGGAGGGAGGGAATCCTCAAAACACCCTGTGGGCAGGAGGGAGGGGCCCTCTGCCCCAGGCCAACTCAGCAGCTGCTGCAGGGATGGGGGCCAGGAGGGCTCCTGGGGCCAGTGGTGAAAAGCGTGGACTGCCGATGCAGAAGGCTGGGCAGGAAGAGAGGCCTGTTGCTGGTTCACTCGTTCAGGCAGTGCAATGCGGACTGCGGGCGCCGCGCCCCAGCCAGCTCTGCCCCTTCCTCGCTTCGCCTCCCCTCTGCTTTGATGAGCTTAACGCAGATAAAGCACTGAGAATGGGCACATGGCAGGGAGAAACAGGCACAGCATGGCTCATTTTTTTTTTTTTTTAATTTGACAGAGTTCTAGACAGAGAGAGAGAAAGGTCTTCCTTCCATTGGTTCACCCCCCAAATGGCTGCTACAGCCGGCGCTGTGCCGATCTGAAGCCAGGAGCCAGGTGCTTCTCCTGGTCTCCCATACAGGTGCAGGGCCCAAGCACTTGGGCCATCTTCCACTGCCCTCCCGGGAGGGAGGATTAACCAAGTGAGCCACGGCGCTGGCCCCACAGCATGGCTCAGTTTTTAAGACCCCCCCACACACACTGCTGGAACCCCCGTGGGGTGAGTAGGCGCAGTGTAAAGGAAACAGAGCTGGGTATACTGCTACAGCCTGGCGTGGATGACAGAGGCTCACAACGATCCCAGAGGCCAGGGGCCCCGCTGCCCCGGCAGGCTCTGTGAGGGGAAGACCGGCGCATCTGTCCACTGCAGGCGCCCTTGCCAGATGTGCCCTGTGTTACAGGTGCAAACGGGGGTCACAACATCAAGTGCAAGGTAGACTCAGAAAACGGCCAACGACAGGCCTCCTTTACTTTTCTAACATCAACCACTGGCCACTGCTGGCCCCAAAGCTGCCTCCCCGGACAGCTGCTCTCTGAAGTTGTGCTGTCTGTAGGAGCTTCCTCGCCTCAGGCCGCAGGCTCCCTGTCACAGGAACTGAGCTGTGATGACAAGAGGGGCTGCCAGAGCTGGAGCAGAAGGCGGCAGACCAGGCCTCACCCTAGCGTCCGCGTCTCAGCGGCCGGGCGGGAGATGGTGCCCTGGAGGGAACCAGGGCCTGAGCTGGGGAGGGGGCAGCCTGTTGCTGTGGATGGTGGGCTGGTGCAGTCCAGAGGGGCTGTGGCACAATGGGGTAAGCCGCTGCTTCTGACGCCAGCATCCCATATCGGCGCCAGGTCATGTCCCAGCTGCTTCACTTTTCCCATCCTGTTCCCTGCCAATGGCCTGGGAAAGCAGTAGAGGATGGCCCAAGTGCTTGGGCCCCTGCACCCACATGGGAGATGCCGATGAAGCCCCTGGCTCCTGGCTTGCTTCGGCCTGGCCCAGCTCTGGCTGTTGTGGCCACTTTGGGGGTGAACCAGCAGATGGAAGATCTCTTTCTCTCCCTGGCTTTCAAATGAATAAAAAAAAAAAAAAAAAAAAGGCGGTGGGAGGGTGGGCCACACGGGGCCAGGGATGAAAGCAAGACCAGCAGGCCGGCTCCAGCTACCGCACCTGGGCGTGTGTGTGTGCGGGGTGTGGGGTTAGGTAGGGGCAGGAAGGCACTGGTTAGCTTTTCAAACGGTGAGGGCCCCGGCTCTGAAGGCAAAGCCCGCACTGGGACACTGGCTCACAGCCCTGCCACCTCTCCACAGCAAGGAGCCCAAAGAAATCCCCTGGAAGGCTGTCGGAAGCCCCTACGTGGTGGAGTCTACAGGGGTGTACCTCTCCCTAGAGGCTGCTTCGGTAAGCGGGGGCGGGCGCCCGAGGCCAGGGTGGGGGCTGCCCTGCTCAGAGTCCCTGACGCCTGAGCCCCCTCCCCAGGCTCACATCACAGCAGGGGCTCAGCGTGTGGTCATCTCTGCGCCCTCACCAGATGCACCCATGTTCGTCATGGGCGTCAACGAGATCAAGTACAACCCCGGCTCCATGAACATTGTCAGGTAGCCGGGCAGCCGCGTGAGGGGGCGGGAGGCGTCCGGAGCCACGCCCACCTGAGGAGGGGAGCTGGCCCCCTTCCCCACCCGCACCTCCCCCGCCCATCCCCCCCACCCCCAGCCTGACCTTTCCCAGAGCACACCCCAGAGGGCGAAGGGTGGCGGGGCGGCTCGCACTCACAGGCCCCTGCACGCCGTGGCTGTTGCAGCAACGCATCCTGCACCACCAACTGCCTGGCCCCCCTCGCCAAGGTCATCCACGAGCGATTTGGCATCGTGGAAGGGCTCATGGTGAGTCTGGGGCAGGAGGGACGGCAGGGGACACAGCCTCTCCCTCCCAGGCCTTGCTCAGTGTACGGTGCTCCCGGGGAGAGACGGGTTTGCGGGGGAGGAGGCAGCGTTACCAGACAACTGTCAGGCAGGAGCTGAGCCTGCCTGGCCTGCCCGTGCCCCTGCTGTGGTCCGTGGTGGCAGTCCCACCAGCTCTGCGCCTGGGGAAAAGAGGCAGGGGCACTTGGGAACAGCGGTCCTCACCTTAGCCCTCTGCTTCCCCGAGACCACCATCCATTCCTACACGGCCACCCAGAAGACGGTGGACGGGCCGTCCAAGAAGGCCTGGCGGGATGGACGAGGCGCCCATCAGAACATCATCCCGGCCTCCACCGGCGCTGCCAGTGCTGTGGGCAAAGTGATCCCAGAGCTCAAAGGGTATGAGGCCAGGGGCCAGAAGGGAGCTGGAGGTGGAGGGCCTGGCCACGCCCCAGGCAAGGGGACAGATGACGTCCCTGGCTTCTGACTTCTCCCTCTGCCGTGGAACGCTCCAGGAAGCTCACAGGAATGGCATTCCGCGTGCCGACCCCAGACGTGTCTGTTGTGGACCTGACTTGCCGCCTGGCCCAGCCTACCCCTTATTCAGCCATCAAGGATGCTGTAAAAGCAGCCGCCAAGGGGCCCATGGCTGGCATCCTTGCCTACACAGAGGATGAGGTAGGCGCTGGGATGGGTCCTCTGGGGAGGGGCTGTGGCTGCCACGCCCACCCGCACGCCCAGAGAACTGCAGGGCCACCAGGTCGCCCTGCCTCAGGGTCTCTGCACCTGCCCCCCAGGGAGCTACAGTCTACCCTCACCTTCCTACAGCAAGCGCTCAACAGTGATGAACAAAAGGCCACCGCTCCCATTGTTCTCCGCTCCTGGCTGGAGCCGGGCCAGGGCCAGATGCCTGCCTCGGGAGGAGCGGCTGTCACCCTCAGCTGTCCCCTCTCCGCCCGTCCCCCTCGGTGCTGTCCTCCCCTTTAGCGCCAGCCACGAGCATCTCCCGTTGTAATGGGACCCAGTGGTTGCTCTGGGGCCGTGTTCAGCCTTGGCTGCTAAGCTGCCAATAAGCACAGCCACGTCCCAGTATCGGGGTGCCTGGGTTGAAAGCCTGCCCCTGCCTCTAGCTTCCGGCTGACACAGCCCTTGGGAGACAGCGGCCACGGCTCAGTGACGGGATTCCTGCCACCCATGGGCTGAGTTTCTGCTCCTGGCTTTGGCTCCCCTGGCTGTTGTGGGCATCAGGGAGCGGGAGTGAACCAACACATGGGCGTGTTCTCTGTCTCTCAAGTGAATAACATCATAAAATCCGCTGCTCAGAACCCTCCTGTGGCCTCTGCCACACGAGAGTGACACCCGCAGGGCCCTGTGCCTGCAGCTCCTTCCACCCGACACGGCCGAGGCCCCCTCAGTCCTCCAGGCCCAGGCTCGTGGCCCCCCTCGGAGAGGCAGCCCGGGCCGGTCCATGGCAAATGCCCAGGGAGTGCCATCCCCTGGCCCGGCCCCGGGGCTCTGTGGTCCGCGTGCCCCTCCGGGCAGAGCCCTCCACGGCCCTGGGCGCACGCTGTGTCCCGAGGGCTGAAAGGGTGGGCCGCGTGCCGGAGTCGCGCCTCGGCTGGGCCACGCACGCTGATCTCCGCAATCCCCACACCCAGGTCGTCTCCACGGACTTCCTCGGCGACGCCCACTCGTCCATCTTCGATGCCAAGGCAGGCATTTCGCTCAACGACAACTTCGTGAAACTCATCTCCTGGTACGCGCGAGGGGCCGGAGCCTCGTGGGGGGGGGGGCGGAGGGGCTCGGGGAGCAGCCCCCACCCCGACCCGCCCGCCTTCTCGCCCCAGGTACGACAACGAGTACGGCTACAGTCACCGCGTGGTCGACCTCCTCTGCTACATGTTCAGCCGGGACAGCTGAAGCGGGCGGGCCCCCGTCGGCTTCCCGGCGCTCCGGGACAGGCACTCGCACCTGCCGCTTCCGCGCTCCGCTCCCCGGGGGAGGAGGGCCCGGCGCGGGGCCTCGCACCGCCGGGTCGACGGTGCAATAAACACCACAGTGCTCACGGCTGCGCCTCGTGTCTCTGCGCCGGCCACGGCGGGGTCGGGTCCGGGTTCAAGCGCGCCCCGCCGCTGACTCGATCGGCCCGAGCCCGCGCGCCCTCAGAGGGGAACGCTATCCCACACCCCGCCGGAAGTCGGTCCCCGAAGCGCCGGGAACCGGGGCGTGGCCGCGGCGCTCTGACGTCACCGCGCGCGACGCCGGCGGCCGGGACTACCGCTCCCAGAAGGCCGCGCGCGGGCCGCGGCCAGACAGGTGGGCGTCAGGCCCCAGCGCCGGCGGCGGTAGAAGCCCACGCCTGGAGACGCCGCGTCGCGACCCCCGCGCCGGCGGGAGCGGGCGGCCGGCGTCATGACCTTGTTCCACTTCGGGAACTGCTTCGCTCTCGCCTACTTCCCCTACTTCATCACGTACAAGTGCAGCGGCCTGTGAGTGCGGGGCGGGCGCGGGGCGGAGAGGGCGCGGGGCGAGCCCACCCCTCACCGCCCGCTTCTCCAGGTCCGAGTACAACGCCTTCTGGAAATGCGTGCAGGCGGGGGTCACCTACCTCTTTGTGCAGCTGTGCAAGGTGAGGGCCGCCCGGAGCGCACGTGTCCGGCCCCCGGGCACCGCCTGGGCAGCGCGACCCCCGCGGTGGCCCCGCGCACGGGGCACGGCTGCCAGGGTCCCAGGAGGGGGTGGGCGTGAGCGCGGCGCCACCCGAGCACGGGTCTCGGGGGAGCTCAGCTGTGGTCGGCTCACAGGGTCTTAGTAGGTGAAGGGCGAGTTGCGCCCGAGGTGTCCCACGGCGCTGGCTGCCCAGTCCGTCCCGACCTGACCCCGGTCCCCTGTGATGGCCTCAGGGACCAGGGCGGCCACCCGCCGTCTCCCGCAGAGCTGCAGGCCGGCTGAAGGCCCCTCCCCCAGAAGCCCCCCGCCCCGATCTCCGTGTCCTGCCGCCGACTGGACGCTCACTTCCCACAGAGGGGAGGGGCGCACAGTCACCTCGCGGTGACCCCCTGCCTGCCCTTCTCAGATGCTGTTCTTGGCCACTTTCTTCCCCACCTGGGAAGGCGGCATCTACGACTTCATCGGGGTGAGTGGGGCGCGGCGGGGGCAGGGGCTGCAGGAGGGAGGCCCCCGGCCCCCGGAGCTCACCCGGGCCTCAACCGGACCCTCAGGAGTTCATGAAGGCCAGCGTGGACGTGGCAGACCTGATCGGCCTAAACCTCGTCATGTCCCGGAACGCCGGCAAAGGAGAGTACAAGATCATGGTCGCTGCCCTGGGCTGGGCCACCGCCGAGCTCATCATGTCCCGGTGCGTGCAGCGGCCTGGAGCCGGACTGCGGGGCGGGGCGGGGCGGGGCGGGGCGGGGCGGGGGCGCCGCGTGCTGGAGAGCCCCTCCCTTTGCCTCCCTCAGCTGTATCCCGCTCTGGGTCGGAGCGCGAGGCATTGAATTCGACTGGAAGTACATCCAGATGAGCATCGACTCCAACATCAGCCTGGTAGGCCCCCCGACCCTCCCCCCCACAGGCGCCGCCCCGCCGAGGCCCCGCCCCGGCCCCGCCCTAACCCCGCCTCCCCGCAGGTGCACTACATCGTGGCGTCTGCGCAGGTGTGGATGATAACGCGCTACGACCTGTACCACACCTTCCGGCCGGCCGTGCTCCTGCTCATGCTGCTCAGCGTCTACAAGGCCTTCGTCATGGAGTGAGCGGCGGGGGAGGGGCCGGCCCCGGCTGCGGCTGCGCGCTCCCCACCACCCTCTCCTGCCCCTCACGGTGCTGTTTGCCCGCAGGACTTTCGTCCACCTCTGCTCGCTCGGCAGCTGGACGGCACTGCTGGCCCGAGCGCTGGTGACAGGGCTGCTGGCCCTCAGCACGCTGGCCCTGTACGTGGCTGTTGTGAACGTGCACTCCTAGGCTCGGCGCCCAGCCGGACGCGCCTCCTGCCTGCCTCCTGCCTGCCTCCTGCCTCGCCCGGTGTGAGTGAAGTAAACAGTGTTGGAAAAGCGGCCTCCGCCTCCGTTCCCTCTCTCAGGAGCGTCACCCAGGGCCCTGCCCACCTGGGTCCCAGGGCCGTCACTCAGGCTTTGGAGACGGCCGAGTGGGAGGCTGGCCAGCCTGCTGATGCGGCCCCTCGCTTGCCCGTGGTAGACAGAGGGTGGGGGATGACGGCAGCACTGGCCGAGCCGGGGCCCTGGAGAACAGGCTAGCGGGGAGCTGGAATCCAGCAGGGGGCCCTTGGGGGCCCTTCCTCCTTAGTTCACAGCCTCGCATGGCCCTTTCCTGGCTGGCCACCCCCCACCAGACTCCCAGCCCGAGTCTCGCCTCTGAGCCAGGGGTCCCCTGAGACCCGTCTCCTGGTGACCCGTGCCCACTGCTGTTTGTGGCTCCTGAGTGAGCAGCAGACCGGGCAGCCGCTTGACCTCTGGCTTCGCCCCGACCCCCCTGCGATGACTGCCCAGCGTCATGGAAGCCACAAGGCTGCGGGGGGTGGGGCGCAGACTTGGGGTTCTGAGCTCCTTGGGCTCTGACTCAGTTCCGCAGCCCCCACGTTAAGTCCTGGCCCGAGCCTTCTCGGCTGGAGTAGCTGCAGCCAGCCGAGAACAAGCCCTTGAACCTGCCCCGCGCACTCCCGGAGCCACCTTCCGGTCCAGTGGCACCTGTCCCCTGCCCCGTTCCCTCCGTCCCTCCCTCTCCCTGGGGGGGTTGTGCTTCAGCTGCGCCTGGACGCCACTCCTGCCCACTCACAGGGGCGCCTGGCTGCAGCGTCCCCAGCAGGCAGCCGTCCCCTCCAGCCTGTCTGTCCCACATCTACCCTTGGGCCCAGCAAAGCACAAGGACAGCCCGCGCCATTCTGCCATGGAGCCTCGTCCTCAGACCACGTGAGCGCCACCAGCCCCTCGCTGCTCACTGCCCTAAGCAAAGACGGGGTCCACGCGCGTCTTGGGGGCTGGGACTGATTGTGGTCATCGGGCCGCGGCGTGGAAAGGAAGTAGCAGGTGTGTGCCCCCGGAAGCCCATCTGGTGGCTACGCGGTGGGGTCACGTTCTCCAGCCACGGCCCACCTGTGTCCCAGTAAGGGACAGGAGAAAGTTGAGTCCCCGCTTCCGTGGGGCCCAGGGAGAGACGAGTGGTTAGGGTGAGGTGGTGGGAGTGGGCCACAGAGATCCGGGGCGGCAGGGCCCACATCTGCGACAGGTGACGAGGGCAGCAGTGGCCCTGCAGTGAGCTAGGGATCCGTGTTCCAGGAGGTGATGGGACAGTTTATAGGGACCCAGAGAAGCTGCCCGGCCTGGGGGCAGGTGGGCTGCAGCTGAAGGATCTGAGGCTAGTGTGGCAAGACCGAAGGAAGTGTCAAGGTCCTGAGGTCAGAGCAGAGGCCAACCTCAGGACCAGGGGCTCGTGAGGCTGCGGCAGTTGGCAGGGCCGGATCACAGTCGTGAGGGCTGATGGGTGTTGACCGGGGCGGTGGGATCACGGGGCTCTAGGCAGTCGTGTGGAGGAGGCCAGGGCTGTGCCAGAGCAGAGCTGGAGGAGGCTGGAGAGGAGCGAGGTGGTGGGCGTGGCCAGCCCCGCAGAGTGGGGAGAGGAGTCTGGGGTGGCGTGCAGGCACGCGCGGCTTAGAAGCTCCTTGAGAGCTCAGCGCATTTCCCAGGGAGAAGGAGCAGTGCCGATGGGGCAGTGACGCCGAGGCCAGGGTGGGGACTTGGACGTGCGGGGGAGGCTGGAGACAGATGCGGCCGGGCACCGGGAGCTACGGTGAGGAGAGGAGAAGCGTGTCTGGGAGGGAGATAGAGGCAGGCCAAGGGGCTGGGCGAGAGTGGCCTGAAGTGTGTGTGTGGGGGGGGTTTCCCAGGTGCGCATAGCGCGAGGAAGGGTGCTCGGGAGGTGGGCAGGCAAAGGAACAGAGCAAGCAATCGGGGGTGGGGGTGGGGCTCGGTGTGGAAAAGGTTTTGTTTGTTTTTGTTTTTTTAATTTATTTGGAGTCCGTTCCAGAGGGAGAGAGATCCTCCATCTGCTGGCTCACTGCCCACATGGCTGCAACAGCCGCGTCAGGCCAGACCGGAGCCAGGAGCCAGGAGCTTCTTCCTGGTTTCCCGTTTGGGTGCAGGGGCCCAAGCACTTGGGCCGTAGCAGGGAGCTGGATCAGACAGAGCAACCGGGACACAAGCTGGAGCCCTTGTAGGATGCTGGCACTGCAGGCAGCAACCACCCTGACCGCTGTGCCACAGTGCCGCCCCCACCCACCCTGAAAAGATTTTGTCCCCTTTGGGTGGAGGAGGTTCCTGGGGGAGAAGTGCTGAGAACGGAGGAAGCCCAGGGGTGCTGGGCAGGGCCCAGGAGCGGTCCAAGGCCCCTGCTCTGAGCGCCCTGTGGGCGCATCCCTGCCGGTTTAATGCCGTAACCTCTGCAAAGACAGGGAAGCCCGTCTCCCCGGGGCGGTTCACTGCGGACCTACTGCCTGCCAGGCCGTGCTGCAGGCCCTGACAGCCTGCACGGGCAGTCCCCGGGGTGTACGAGTGTGAGAGACCAAAGACGCCACCTGGCCGGAATGACAGCGCAGTCAGTGGGAGCTGGTTTATTGCCATCACGCGAACACGAGGGTTTTCCCCAGAGCCCCCCGGCGGCCCTCCTGCCCAGCCTGGATGAAGGGTACACAGGAGGAGCTGCTGCCAGCACCTCTGAGGCCTGCACGCAGGGACTGCTGCTCCAGGGCGTGGCACCGGCACTCGGGATTGTCCTCGTGCTGGGAGCGTCCAGAGGGTCCCACGAGCCCGGCCCCCCACCTGGCTGAGGCAGGTGCCAGCATGGCCTGAAGACAGCTGTGCCTTTAATAGTAGAGTTCCTGGTCCCACCAGCCTGGGGGAGAGGGAGAAAGGGGCTCAGTCCTCGGGGTGAGGAGTCAGGGGTCACGGACAGTGGTGGTTGGACATGGAGGGGCAAGGGCTTGGAGGTCAAGTGTTGAGGATTCAAGGTGAGGGCAGCTGCTCTGGGGACATCTCAGCCCCCACCCTCCCG